ACTTTCATTACGACACATTATAGAGCACGATAGCTGACGGCCACGGACATGGTTTTATTAAATACACGACTCATAACAGTTCGAAAAAAGGAGTACACTCCACTGACTTGTCTGTTGTGTGCGGCACGAATGGATGGAGGAAACTGGCGATGTTACAGTTGGCCGTGGGTCTCTGATAAGAAATCATCACAACGACCGGCACGCGCCATCTTCATCCACTTCTTCATGGCCTTCCTCTCCTGCTTTGCAATCAGAGAACGTGCACCGATATGCCCGACGAATGGCGCGCGCAACAACCTCACGGGAAAAATAAGTACAGTGAGATAGAAATCGATGCTTTAGGCCAAATGCTTTTGCCGAGACGAAATTCGAACTCGCGTACCCTTGATCCGAAGGTGGCGGTACCAACTATACTCTGCTATGCCGACACCCTGGCAGAGCGCAGCATATCCTTGTACAGTATTACAAGGTGACAGGAAACGGAATGAAGGGCCAGGACGGAGGGGAGATGTGAGGGTCAGGGGGAGAGAAAGAAGGTTAGGATAAAGAGTACAGAGATATGAGTAGAAAGAAACAGAAAAATAGGAATGGAAGAAACAAAGAAAAGGTAAAAGGAGATCAACCAACTACAAAGGACAAGAGAGATACAACTAAAAAAGGGAAGAATCAGAGAAAAAACAGAATGACAGAGACTGAATACATGGGAAGGTTAAGAAACAAAAAGATATAGAGAGAAAAGAAAAGAAACGAATGAAAGGGAGAAAAACACAGGCAAAAAAAAAGAGTTTCAACAGAGAAACACAAAAAAAGTTTGAAGGCAAGTCACTACCAACTACAGTTAGAGAAATAACATACCAAAAGAATAGCTAGGACATAGAAGGTAAGAAATCAACTACACAGAGAGAAACAATGACACAGAAAAAAAAACGTGCAGAGGAGAAATGAGAAGAAAGGAAATCATGATACAAGAAGACAAAAGAAGAACTATAAACAGACAGAAGACAACATACAAATAAAAGTACTTGAAAAAAAGAGAGAAAATGCACAGTCATCTACAGTACAGTATAGATAGTATAATTTGCCCTTCAGGTGCACTGGAACTCATCAATTCCTGAAGAAAGACCAAGCAAATGGGCCGTGTTTTCCAACTCAAAACCAGCATTACAGTGCCTGCAGGTCAGTTTTTCCGACGCGGATACCACGACCAGTTGACCTACCAAGCCATAAAACTTCACCACCTCTTAATACAAAAAGGCCACGACATCTTCTTTCAATGGTTGCCTGGACATTGTGGCATAAGCGGGAATGATTCTGCAGATCATGCTGCTCGCACGTCACATGAAGAAGCAAACAGCCTTCCGATTCCGCTTTCAAGAGTGGACACAGCGAGGCAGATTCGTCAACTGGCCCGCAGTCTCACACTGACTGAGCGGAACACACCAAGCATACGACGTACAAGACTACAGGAACTTGACCCTTCACTACAACTGCGGCCTCCACCCGGCCTACATCGCCGTGAAGCTTCGCTTCTCTATCGCCTTTGGCTGGGAGTGGCTTTCACGAAAGCTTATACCAGGTTAATCGAAATGACTGACAGTGCGGCATGCGATGTTTGCGGCACCGATGAAAATATCGAACGCCTGCTGTGCCACTGTCCTTGATTTGCCTCAGACAGACGAGTACTTGCCAACACAATGCTGCAACTGTATGACTGGCCTCTTTTGTTCAGATGCTTATAACAGCAGCGTCCACATCCCTCGACAGCCCACAAGGCAGTGAAAGCCCTCTAGTGTTTCCTGGGAAAGACGGGTTTGTGTGAACGCCTCTACTTGCGGTGGACTTGTACACGCTGCAATGAAATTACTGTCAGTCTCTCTTTTTTTTTCCTTCTCTTGCCTCTTTCTTGTTCTCTTCCCTAATCCCCCAGTGTAGTGTAGCCAACCAGATGCCTTTCTGGTTAATCTCTCTGCCTTTTCCCTTTTGTTGCTTCCTTCCTTGGTGTAGAAAAACTATCATTTTCATGAACCGCTACGCACTCTCTTCTCTTCTTCCAGTTTAGTTCTCTGCTCAACTGTGATAACATGTCTATCTATTTGTGCAACCAGATGGGAGAATGGGTACACAGACAGAGTTAGAAATAGAAAGCCATAGAAAGGAATGGAAAAGTACCTACATAGAAAGAGAGAAAAAGGAAGACAAAGAAATACACAAATAGGTAAAAGGGTACAAGTATTTAAAAACATACAGACAAAAATGATACAAAAAAGCAATCGTAACCATGCTTATAGTATAGTATAGTATAGAAAAGGAATGGGAAAGATACCGGCAAGAGGGCAACTGTTTAGCCAGGCTGCGACCAGCTATACGCCCACCAGCAATGCTGTGACAGAGCCTCATTGCAAGTTGTGCTATATTTTCTCTTCAGTATATTATTGAGAGAGAGTTTTAAATCATGGACACTTATCTGTGCCAAAGATGACGGCTTGTTTCTGTTTTAGAAAATTAACAATTGCAGTAACATTAGTATTTTTTTTCAGGCCATGAGTACAAACACTATTGGGTATTGTAAAATTGACAAAAGAACCCAGGCAAATAGTGTACTTTTGCTGAGCAATAACGAAGTGGTATCAACACTTTATAAATTAGCAGCTAATAGAGATGTGCAAAAAAGTTAACTTAGGGTTCAAAGCAAATAGTGATTTAGTCAGATAATTTCAAATCTAACAGTATATATAATAATGTATGAAAAAAAAGAGCATATTTGCCATGAGCCAGCTAGCCTGCACAATATTTTATGAAACTGAAACAAGGCTCGTAGCACAACTTGAAGCATCGTAGGCATAACTTGAATTTCAGTAGTATGCAAGCGATGACTGGTAAAATAGGTTACGTGTCAGAATGTACTACATTCGAAGCATATAACAAGCTTTTAAAAACTTTCAAAAATGATCAATCGATGTGGAAGGTAATATCTTCCTTTAACCTTGAAGTGGGTATTCGCAGCAGTGCGGCATTTTCTACATAGGTGTTTTCACGGTCTCAGTACTCCTCAGCCGCACTGGAACTAGCTTTACAGGGACCCAAACATATCATTTATTGACCCATTACTCACTTTTGCAATATCACATCTCACTACCATAACAAAAGAAGACAATACCCATCACACACATAAGGCTTAACACTGCTCAATAGGTAGACTTTCACATGTTACAAGCGAGAGCATACCCATCACGAGGCCCATTCAGCCATTATATCTCGGACATAACTCCACAATGCCCTGATTGCTTAGAGCTTTATTCTTCACTCTCCCACATGATCTGGCAATGTCCCGCGTTACTTCAGGGACCTCCCACCAGTCAGCCGGAGATGCACTCAGGAGCTCCGAGCTCCACCACCAACTAGAGGCAGTCCAGAGGGCCCAAAAACTGGCGAAAGGCCACCATGTTCTCGTGCTGACTAGGGTGTCACCTATGGTAGCGGCTGTTTGGGTGTCCCTCGTGGACCCCCTGTCTGCTTAAACTCCTCAGGACCACACACTAAAGTTTTTTGGCTTTCTGACAGGGAGGTAGGACGTGTTCTTATATACGCTTACTTGTTTTCTGAACGATTTGAAATTTTGATTATAAGTTCAGGTGAAACTCAATTTGAAAAACTAATAATAGTTTGAATATTCAAAGTGCTCTAATATTCATACATGCCTAGTAATAATACATCAATACTTGATAAAACTGATGCATTCATTTTTTGATAACACATTATTGAAGCATAAAGCTAATTTTAAAGGAGAAATGATGAAAAACACATTTTAACGATTCAATGAATGCTGTAAACTCATATCTAATTTGTCATCTATGCCGTCTACAGATGTTTTAATGAATGAAGTTAGCAAAAAAGTCAGCTTTACTTTTGATGAAGATATGAATTTGTAAACTTGACATTTTTTTCATTTATCAGTTTTCATAATACTTTGTAAAAAATCTCAGGTCCAAAGAGAGCATTCTGCTTGCTTAACTCACTAGAATTTGCCTTTCGTTCTCAGATACAACCAATTTTATTTACATGAATAAAAACATTGAATCATAATATTTTTACCCTTTACATGTACACATTTGGATAATGAACGCAAACTGAAGTTTTCTTGGGGAAGGCCTGAAACTATCTGTTCACCATAGCTTTAAGATTTATATTCTGGATGTGTGCACATCCTATAGCCTAAAGCATTTATAATACTGCATAGTGCTTAGGTATAACAGAAAAAAATTCATGCATATCAAAAAGTCAATGCTTATATTGGGGCAACACAGTGTGCATTGGATCATGAATCATGGCCTTCTATCTTGTTCTGGTTAATAGACTTTGATTTTGTTCTTGTTAACCTTCTGTTCTATCATATGCTTTGATTGACAGGAGGTTAAATGTTTTTTTGTGGGTGTTTTTACTTTGTTCCTCCTGGTTATCGACTTTTTGATAACTTTTTTGTTGTGCCGTTATTTGTTTGCCCCTCCCATCCTTCCCTGCTCAGCTTCCAGCGCTTTTGTCGGGACGACAGAAGAGAGAATATGATTGCAGCGTGTGACAAATCTTTGTAACTCCTCTCGTACAGAACGGATTCTTAATGTTTTCGTGGGGTTTAATTTGTGAGGTAATAAGCTTTTCCAGTGAATTAATGCTATGGTTACTCAAAAAAGCTTTTCAGGGCCCATTTAAGGTATTTTGCCCCTGATGTGCCAGACATGTTGTCAAGGTGTTGCTCCAAACACAGCAAAATCAAATGAATACCAGTAAAAATGTATGCAAAAAAAAATATATGCTACACTCTATTATTTTTCTTTAAGGTTAAATTTACTTATTACAAATGTCAGAGACATCAAATTGCTCTATTACTTTCATTAAAAAAAAACAAATCACAATAGAAGCTCACAAAACATATTGATGTCACAATTGAGGAATCATACTGGCATAAGTAACAGAAGAATGCTTTTTTCCACGCATATAGAAAAATCTTGTGTGTAAGTGCTTTATTAGACAATATGAAGCCCCCTTTTCTTGCATAAAAGTCCTGTAATATACAACGCTTTCTACACCTTCGGCTTCAGTATCATGTTCACTGCATCGACAAACGACGGGACTAACGCCCAAGGACGATTCTCTATCTTGATCTCGTCGCCGACCATATATTTCCCTGGAATGTTTAGAAAGGTTAAGCAACAAGAAAATCCATCGAACAGATGGCTGTGACATACAGAAAGCAACAAATACCTGTTTTTACTAGAATTCCTCGAATTCCAACTTGTTGAGCCCCGTCGATGTCATCGCGAACGTCCTTAAAACCAAAAAAACATTCAATAAAAAGTTTGCTGCGGACAATAACTAAGTGACCATGCAATTGATATTGCCCCACTTGTAGAACAGTAAACAGACGCCACTCTTTTTATTTTTGTTTTTTTACACCATTGTTACCAGACAACTTGCAAATGTTTCAGCAATAAAGAATTACAGCATCACAGCCAGAGTTGCACACGAAAAAGCCCGCAACAGGTGAGGCCTCCTTCGTTTATGCCAGCATTTCAGTTCAAATTAACTTACATGCAATATACTTGTCCCGTTAACCATCGTAGATGCAATTTTTCATCCACACCATACTAGAAAACTAAGAAGTATTCCTTGAAGCAATTGTAAGCTTCTTAAAGAAGTGTAAAAGCCCTGAAGTAACAAACATTGTGCAGAAAGGGCCGGCCCTGGTGCTATGTTTTCCGTACTAATACTCCGAGCACAGATGAGGCTCGGTACATATCCGAGAGCTGTGTTTTCACAAAAGGTTATAGGCACAAAAGGCGTGCAAGGACAACACATAGCATACCCCTGTTGAGTCTGTGGAGCTGTGTCTTTTCCTATGTGTGTGCATGCTGAGTATGTATGCATATGCATAAATGAGATAGCTCAATAAGGGAACTGGAATTAAGCAGGACAATTGGTCGAAAGACAGTTGTGTGTGTGATAGCATATGAAGCATTCGGATATGATTGAACTGTTTTAGTGCAGAGTACTATCGTTTTTATAATTTAAGTACTTTGCGTTCACATCTCCTATGAGCAACAGCGAGTTAATTTAGCCATATCATCTCAGTTCACGCTCAGTCAAAATGCAGCACGACTGACACCAAGACATGAGACTTAAGAACATGTTCTCTATTTTGTATTCACTGCGCAAAAACATGCTGGAAAGCACTCGCCCTGTGCTTTTGTATTTCTTCTCTTCTGCTTAACCAAGCTACACTTGACCAACGTAAAAGATGGCAATGAAGTAATTACACTAAGTCACTTAAAAAATTAATTCAGTGATACACTTCCGGAAGGCATATATTTGTTCCAAGACATTAACGACTTTTAAAAATGGTGGATCACCGCTCCTTTCAACAGCTGAGAACTTTCTGCTGCAATTTAAAGAGAAAGGTTGAAGCGATTCTATACAGAATTTATGAGTGTACAGGTATAAGAGTTCATTCCACCATCTCATGCAGACATTCAACAGCATTTAGCATAATCTATGAAACAGATAACATACATCACCAATCATAACAGTGTCTTCTGGTAAGGCATGAAGTTGTCTGAGAGCAGTCAGGAAGAACGTCTTGTCAGGTTTGCCTACAATCTCGGCTGTCTTGTTAGTGGCAAACTCCAACGCCCTCACAAATGGACCCGGTCCCAAGGCCAGACAGTCATTAGTGCGGTAATAGCGTGCCTTGTGTATTGCAACAAGCACAGGCTCCATCCAGTACTAGCCTGAAAACAATAACCTCGCAGTTCAAATGTCCACTATTTCTCTCAGGCAGTTTCACGTGCGGCTGCTGGACACCATGTAAATGAATGTAATTACCTAAATGCTTCATTCATAGGAGTGTAGTTAAATTTTTCTGGTGCCAGTCCAATAAGTACAGCATTGGGGTCATTTGTATTCATACCTAAAAGAGAAGCCTCGTTATTATTATACATTGTTCAATATGGTGAAGGAACACTTACATCTTTTGACATGTATGTGCACCCAACATCAAACCTTTTACATAAAACCCTATGCGAAGTACCACAAGTATGACATTAGTCTCGTAGCGACTGCTTGTTTCTTTTCCTACAGTGTCGCCGCAACGCTCCACAGTCATGAACGTAGAATTTCTGGAATAAAAACAAATAAAATCAGCTTTCACGAGTTTTGCATAGGAATATAGATAGGCTCAATGTAAACATCAAGTGCTTTTTGTTTATTGAAAAAGTAAAGGCCCTCAATGAAATATATATTTTAAATAAGATAGGTCATGCACTTAATGACAACATACTCGTGTGTGACTCTTTGGTAATAACAACTCCCATATCAAACGACAGCAGTGGAGTCAACATACAAAGTGATCGTCTCGTCGTCTGCGATTATTATTTGAATATTGCGGATATCAACATGAAAATACACGCATCACAATTCACCGCAAAGTTCCCGAGGCCTGTAAAATGGCAACAAGGCAAGGTGGCATTTGCCTATGCAATTGATGCGCGTATCACATTGAACAAACAGCACTTTTCACCTCCACTCTTCGAACGCACATGCCAACATTACATTAGCTGCCTCACAATATTGGGCCGGTAGAAGAAACACCACATTAAGATTGTCTGTGCTGTGATGCACTGACTGCGTTGCCACGGTAGCGCTATATAGTAAAGGCAATGTGTCCCGAGACTGCACATCAGGTTCAAACGGGAACAAGGGCAACAGCAATAAGCATGCATGCACAGCGAGTTGCGACTGATAACCACACATCAATGGAATTTTCGAGATGCATCAGCTAGATATGACATGGGCCACTGGCTCGATACACGCTGGACATCTAATAGAAATCAAGCAGCAGAGAATACCCCGCTTTCAAGTCTGCAATAGCAAAAGCTGCATGCGCCAGACCAACTATAACTCCTTGCGTACCTTCAAACTCTTCCATAGCAGCCTCGGACACCATCAGGTGAGGTCTCAGGTTCCGCACCTCTATGAAAGTCCTGGCGGCTGTCAAGGACGAGAAAATTTCGTCCGCGGAAATCTTGAAACCTAAACTAACCAACCGCTCATGCAGTCGTCGCCGTGATTCCTTCGTCGTGTTTGTCACGAATTTGATCTGGATCCGGCAGCACGTAGTCTGGGAAAGGAAATCGCAACGCGTTGAAAGTAGCCGCCGCTGCGTGCAACGTTACAAGAACTTTTCACCGGCTTACCTTTCTAGTGCTTTGACGGCCCCTGGAATGATCTTGTCATCAACGTGCAACGTGCCGCTCAAATCTATGAGAGCCGCCTTCACGTGTTTCGCTGTAGTCATTACGGAATATAAGCGATAGGCCAGCGAAAAACACGGGCGAACTTTTCTGTAAAAGTGTACCATACGATGAATCGAATTCAACTATCGGACAGCCATGCTGCGTCTTCACTGGTTTCGTTTTCGTATTCGCCTGGTGGATTTAATCGCACTATTGACACAAAAATTGTTACCAGAATTTTATCAAGTTAATCCTCCATTTCAGTTGAAATGTTTTGCTAATACATAAATTTCGCTTTGCTTATAATTTATTTTTTTAATAATATCAGGCGGTGTTTCAGCTCTCAAAAATAACCGTCTTTGAGGTCAAGCTGCACATCTTGAAGGCTACGTCACCACGTGTTACCACAAAACATCTAAATTATAACAAATCTTAATGGTCTAAATTAACTATGAAAGCTCCTATCACGGTGTGGCATACATATTTTAGCTGCCTTTGCACCGTTACTTTTTGGTTTCGCTATTACGCGTTTATTTTTTTTATTTCGCATTTTGTTGAAGCTATGGCTTTTAACTTACCTTTCGAAGGCTCTTATGGCCTTGGGACGTTCATTACCTAACACTGTCTACTACTGCCGAACAAAAATGTTTCTCACTCACTTGTACGGTAGGATGTCATCATGCATTAGCTGTTATCTAAAAACATGGTATTCAGCAAAGAAAAGCTTGAATTCTGAAGAGTTGGATTCTCTGAATTCTGGAGCGAATAAAGTTTTCTGTAAATGACCATTTTCCAAAGGCAAAAATATCACCCCTGTGTTAAAATGCCAAATGCCTCAACAGACTTCCTGAATGTATACCACGCCAAATAATTCTAGGACTTCTCAATAACACCTGTGGCCTTGATGGGTCACAAATGTTATTTTTCCGCCACAAATCAAGCTAACATGAAAAATGGCTGGCACTAAATGTAGCGGCTGCTTGTCAACGGATCAACTTTGAACAGCATTGCAAGAACAACAAGCTTGTTCATATTGTATTGACTTGAGACTAGAGTACTGTGCATGCAAAAGGCCGACAAACACAGAGTTGCTTGTTTCTCTTCGCTTTTCTTGTTCCTGCAACTAAACAGAGCAACCACGCTCTGTTCAAAGCACTTGACGTTTACCACGCACCCAATAAATAATATGTGATCACAATAATCTGGTGCAGGGCAATGTGATCATATCTTACCAGGCAGATGGGCCTCACAAAATGAGAATATTAAGAAATTGCCTGAAATAAGAAAATTATGTCACGGTGCCCATGCATGCAAACATACATTTCATTTAACTCTAAGATCTGCTGAGAAAACCTTCTTTGATACCCTTTCTGGAAGATGATCCAAATTAGAGTGTAAATTCTGGGAGTTTCATAATCATGACCATAACATTTTGCATCCTCGGGCTTTGCAGTGCTACATCATATCCACTCAACCACAAAAAAAAAGTGAACGACGGTCCATTGACATTAAACATGGAAGGGACGCTGACAAACTCGGCTGTCAATACATTTTGTCAAGTGATATCCATGGCGTGCTGCAGTGATGGTCACAGATCCAAGTAAATACTCCAAAGCAGTGTTGTGAATACTATGAAGATGCTGCGAGTTGTTTCATAAACTTAAAACAGCTATGACACCAACCACAGGAGACAAAATGTGCCTTCACAGCTTGCTTAATGTTACCTTTAGATTCAAGCTGTTTAGCAGTCACTGAAAGCTGCAGCTAGCCAGCATGCCTTTAGGTTATTTTGGCATGTGCTCTAAAAGTAAAAATAAATAGTGAAAAAAAAAACTGACACAATTTTAATAGAAAAATTTTCCAACACTTGAAGGTTGTGATGCAGGAAACACTGTTGGTTCCTATGTAATATGACACTATCAACCTGGTTGCCTTTGGGCAGCACATTTGTTTGAGTGCCTGTAAATGTCATATAAACATTTCCAACACAAGATTGCTTCAGATAAACGTAGAATTTAGTTATTTTGGGTTAATATTTATGACCACTAATTAATCAAATGTCAATGAACATCCACTATTTCTCTGCATTCCACTCCAACTAGCATGTGGAACATGAGCATACCAGCAAAATGACAGCTGCTAAGCCACCCTTGATGGATCACACATATTAAAAGGGAGCCTGAAATGATTCTGACGATTTCGTACAAACACATTGGGCCGGTAGACGAAGTCCTAAGGCTCATTTAGAGACCAGTTTGAGCTCTTCGCATAAACTGTGTAATTTATTACAATAATTTAAAGGTGCGACTCGGCCAAATGCGATTTCAACCGCCCATTCGCAGAGCGACATGCTCTGGCCACTGAATTTCACCGTAGCTGTTGATATTGTCACGGGGTCGTGACGTGGCCGAAGACAGGAGACTTCGTGTTGGGATTTAACTGTTTATTTGGGCAAACCTGTGCCCGGTAAACGGAAAGTCCAATTACAGCAGCAGTCTCGCACAGATAGCAGTCTCGGACTGACAGCGGCGAACGGAGCGTCGGCCTTCGATCAACAACTGACAAGCGGCGAAGCGCGTCGGCATTTATACTCTTGCCGTCGAATGTTCTAGCGTTATCGCTGGCGGTGGCGTAGGTTCCAGAACAATCTGGTCCGTTCGCACAGTGGGCGTGATCTTATCGAAATGATCTACTACAGTCCGGAACCTTCTCGAAAACTGCAGGCGCGGTTTGCGCTGAGAATCGTGTGGTGTTTTGGGACGATAACAACAACTTGGGAAATGGAACGTGGCAATATGATTGGCTGTAATGGGCAGTACAATGCGCAGAACTAACATTTCCTGGTAAGGTGACGGCACCTGTTGGAGCAGATATGAATTACTGCACGCTGGTCTCTTTTGTACATGGCGTGCGTGCTTCCGGGAACACTGTGTGATGGCCTCCGAGACTGCGTGCAACTTGTTGGCATGCGATCACGGATGTCTAGACAGGTAAACGCTCACATCATCCAGTGCACTGATGAAAGCTCCACAATTGCTGACGATGCCAGAGTGTCTCATGAGTTGGAGGCCAGGCAGAAGTGAGGAGGAAGGTGTGATATTATTGTCCATAGCGACCTTGGTACACGACATGTCAGTAAATTCGTGGTGCGAATGGCTCACTGATGCTCTAGGCTAAACGCTGACAAAACTGCAAGAAAATGTTTCAGGGTCCCTTTGACCCACTGGCTTGCAACTTATCTAGAATTTATTATGATTCAAGCAAACTTTATGGTCTCCAGAAAAAGAGAGAGAAGAGGAAAGGCAGGAAGGTTGTAATATTCACAGTATAAGCGGCAAGACAATGGTACCAAAAGGTAGTAATGCTTTTCACAGTAATGTTCAGTATTCACAGTGGATAAGCTTATGCAACAAAAACATGTAGATGACTTATCCAGCTATGTTTCTTGCCTTATAGTTACACTATACAAAAGACCGAAGGTAAGGTTCACTCCACAACACTTATGGCATTGTGCTGAATATATACAGAGCAGAGTGCCCATTCAAATTGGAACATGTCGCACTGAGTACGAGTCACAAAGCACGAATATTTTGACAAGTGCAAATGCATCATATATTAGGCCGAGTGTGGTCTTAGCATATATTGTATTTCTTATGTACTTTGCCTGCACAAAAGTGGGCTAAAATCGTGCAGGTGAGGCAGAGTAAATTCATTGCTTTTTCTGTTATGCTATTGTTGCGGATCCCTGCGCTGTTCACTAGTAGTCGCTTCGAATCCCAGCGCTGATCACCAGTTGTTGCAGACCGGGGTCTACCCAACGCTTCCCCACTGACATGGGCTGCCGGAACGTCAGAGATACGTCGGACCCGGCCCCTTGTGGTAGCCTGGCGTAACTTCGAGTGGAGGAAATGAATGCTGACAAGATGGGGATACGAAAAACAAAACAAGTTTATGGCAATATTTACACTTATTTACAGCATAGAGAGGATAGGAGTTTCACAAACCACGAGCGTGGTGGTTGAACCATTACATGGTTCAGAGCCCTGTCCAGCACTTTGCAACGTCGTTATAAACCCTCTCGGGTTCCTCCTCTTTGATTAGAACACCAATCGCACACACAAGACACCGTCCACAGGGCATCAGTCATTAACACACGGTCCGCCGAATAGTTATTGCATCTCCCAAAGCAATGCTCCTCTGGTCCGAGTTTCACTGAGGAGAGGGGAAATGGGGTTCTCTCCCGGAACAATTTGGCGGTTAGGTTGCTTCTCCCGCCTTTCCCAGGAAGGGCAGCCAAGGAGTAGATACTTGAATTGCGGAGACACGACCTGTGCGGTCGGTCTGCTTCGTCGTCTCGCTAAACAAGCCGGCCCGAAGGAATTGCTTGTAGAGACATTGGCTCACGAACTGTCCTCTAATCCTTTTGTCGCTCCCCGCCGCTGGATGCTGGTTCTGAGAGAACTGGGGTTGCGGGCGTGGGAGCGCTGCCTGGCTACATTTACCAGGGTCAGCATAGCGCCTATTGACGTGGGTCATAACACTATTTAAAGACCCCACAACAGAAAAAACAAATGTTCATCAATGAATAAACGGCGATATATAATGACAGAAACTGTCTTTGTGGCTTGGTACTCACAGACAGCCAGAGTCAATGAAAGACAAGAGGTTCAATATTTACATAACATTTATTGTAAAAACAGCCGCTAGATAATCGTAACATAAAATGGAGGCTACAAGTCTTCTACGCTCCATTTGTATGCAATTTCTTCCATTGCCTTCTTATTATTCTTTGACTCTATCAGCTTCTTTTCGAAGCCATTTGACCGGTCCACTCCATCCCAACGGTAGCCGGGACGAATTCCAAAGCGATTTGGTGGAGGCTCTGGGCCACTGTACACAGGACGACCTGCACAAAGCAAACTGCAAACACTCTTTAATAAGAGGATCCCACAAAAGGTTGTTGCATGCCACCAAGTTTTCTGTACGTACCGAGAACAAATGATTAACCACACTTTTCAACACTGCAGAGATATGTGAAAGGCAATTTCCTCCTAACAAAAAGGATAAATTTAGAAAAGCTTAAAAACAGCGAAGCTGGTTGGTCTTAAAGGCTGAACACGGCCTTCTTGGCTGATGGCAGGTCTTTTCTCAGTGTAGACAAAGTAGACTCGAACAACAGTCTGTTACAGACCATGCAAGAATGTTTAAACTTCAGTACCAGAACTAACCTACAAAGGTGGCATCTGGTCTACCTATTTGACACTGGCCATAAAAATGAAGAAACAAGAAACAATGAGAAATAACTTGAGACAGACACGACTAGTCCCAAGGACTAGTACAACCACACTGCGCTATCAACAAATGCTGAATGCTTTGAAGCATCCAGAAGCCATGAGGGACACTACAGCAGGCATTCCAAACGAACTTTGGCAGCGGGTGTTCTTTAACACACACCCATAACTAACGCATGATCATTTTTGCATTTTGGCCTATTTGGAATAAATATCAATACCATGGCCAGCCATCAAAATTGCAATCTCACGCTTGATGGCAAAATGTCACTGCTTCTGAGCTGTCACAACTAGCATTATGGGGACAATAAAAACAAATAATCAGCCCCCAAGTTAACCTCATAGGTATTAAAACTCCAGAATGCCAGAGGTCATCTTTAATGAGAACTGGGCTTACACCGATTCGCAATGCAAGTTAGAGTAACTGCTCATACTAGCAAACTGCAGAACAAGCTCTCAGTTACATATAACGTACAATTTACAATTCAAAGTTAGCCAATGATGTTAATGAGGTAATCACACTTCTTTTGAGCAAAAAATGCCAGTTTAGGCCAATTATTATTGCACCTTCCAAGAGATCTTACTGATGGTTGAGCTTTTGCAGGAATATACTGAAGTGTCTCAAAGAAAGACAGTTACTTTGTGACATTATCGCACAGAAAAAAAAGAGTCTCTACAGTTCCTGCCTGTTTGTCAAGTCAGCCAACGGCAATTGCTGCTCTCTAAAACAAGACTTGCTTTTACACTACTGTTGAGATGGCCACTTGTACAGCCACATTGCAAGCTCAGCAACCAATGAATGGATTACAAAGCTGGAGAGTTGTTAGGTTGTCATTATGACAACTTGGCAGCGCAAACGAACGAGACAAAGTTAGAAGGTGCACTTGTTTGTGTGCCTTCTTACTTTGTCAGGCGTGTTCGCCCCGCCAAGTTGTCATAACGGATTACGAAGCTCCAGCTTCACGGAATGCTCAGAAGGGCGCGTGCACTATCACAAAGAATGCACAAGGCTGCTCAGCAGGAGCACGACAGTGCGTGTACACAGCTCTCTTATGAGAGCCGTAAGACAGAGCACTGCCCTGGTGCCACGGCATAAAGCTGATTGAAGGCTTCGTAAAATGCTTGTTTAAGGCATCAAGTAAATGTAGCCAAAGTGTACATGAAGGTTCTGGGAACATATGGTGGGCTGACTATCACTGCAGTGCACACAGCAGAGAACATAGTAAAGTGCTAGGTCAAGAGCAGTCATAAATCGCTTCTTCTTGCCTTCCCAATGTTGCCATCGGCTATGCAGCAAGAGGACACAAGTGGGCCCAAAAGTTATTGGTTCATTTCTTAATTACGAGAATTCCATCAGTTATGGTATAGTAAACTTGATTGCCATTATAAGAGACATGCACTGGGAAGAATTTGTCTCTTATATGAGATGTCCCTTATGAGCAGGGTACCAGGTTCTCATTTTTTTATCAACCCTGTAAGAGATTGGTGTCTCTTTTACCAAAATGTCTGTTGTCTCAGTGTCTCTTATAAAAAGTTTCAACTGTTTTGATTCTAGTTAAATAAACTGGTGCACGTGTCTGCAGCAATCCAAAAAGACCAGAAGAATATTTCAGTGCGGCTCTTCAAGTTTGCATCGTTGGCCCTCTGCTTAACCCCTTCAGGGTCAACAATGTACACGCACGTGCTCCGCTAACGTCTTCAAGATAGTCAATGATGTACATAAATGTCATCACTCGTATGTAAAAAAAAACGCACCTTTTCTCAGTTTTCTTTTGCTTGGCATGTGCTCTCACACTGTAGCAATATATGGAATTTTTTTCTTGCGCCAATACATGGATGGAGGAACCTTATTTAGTGTCCTGAAAGATGTGACTAGAGTGCAGTTGGCTTCTCTCGCGTTGAAACGAGCAGGCTAAGCTTGACTCCCGCATCGTGAGCTCTCTAGACGGCCCAAAGCTGATCCCTGTAGCGCCGATCTCTCTCTCTTTTTTTTTTTACGCTTTACTACAGAGGTGTGCCAACTAGTTTCAGTTTCGCCCTTCGGCCGATTACCGCTTGTCTAACCCTTTGCCTCAACAAACGTTCACAAGCAGCATAGATATTTTCCCTGTGTTCTCCTATACACACGACCCGAAGATCAGGTTATGTGTGCACGACAAGCCCCACTTCTTTTCCTTTGTTCTTAATTTTTTTATTTTGCTTTGCGGCACGAGCCACATTTCTCTCATCCTCATAGCTTTTCATTATGTAGGCACAGTTTCTCATTTAATATTCACAGGTATCTGTGTATGTTTACAGTGCTTTAACAGTGCTATCCAGTGCCACTCAAAGCCACTGCAGATAAACACATGAACTTAGCTTGTATTAACGCGGCACATATGAAAATAAAAGGGGAAAGACGACAAAGACGTCTAGAAATATTACCGCCTACCTTTGTAGACGTCTCTGTTGTCTTTCCCCTTTTATTTTCATATGTGCCGCGCTGATACAAGCTAAGTTCATGGATAACCAACTCGCCCGAACCACAACACTTTTGAGATAAATACACTTTCAGCTGTAGACAAGGCAGTGGTGGTGAATAAAGCTAAAACAAACCTAAAAAGATGGCAAACCAGTAAAGCGCTAAAATTTATCAGGTTTCATGCACCGAATTCATGAAATGAATTTGAGGCCTACTGTAGCAAGGTACACTAGACTACCTTTGAGCACCTGGGGTCGTTTAACATGTAGCTAGATAAAACTACCTAAATTACCTTGCATTTTGCACCCGTCCAAACGCAGCCACCTCAGCTGGTAATCAAACCCCAACCCTCACACATAGGAGCGCAATGCCACAGATGCTAGCTACCACGTCCGGTGGATAAATAAAGAAGTGTTCACAGTCGGTGATGCTACATACCCGAAGCACCTTCCCCCGCTTGCTTCTTCTTTTTCTTTCGAATGTAGTCCAGCATCGGGTCACCCTCTCTCTCCTGGTCCTTCAAGTGCTTCTCCAGGTCTTCGTCGTCCTCATAACGACTGAAGGGCTTTGACATTTCGTGCAGGTGTTCGGCCAAATTTTGGTCCTGCTGCTGCTGTTGAGCGAGGCTGAAGTGAGTGAAGATATCGACATTCAGGTGTGGGACAACCTTCGAAGCGAAACGACAGCTCCACACTGGACACTGCGGCATGCGTGTCATGATTCAGAGCCCAAATGCTAGCTTGGGTTTTGAATCCACGTGAGCAAGAAGGCACAAACACGCAGAGGTTCATGCAACTGGAATGCATTAATAATAACAGTAATATCTGCAGTTTTACAAGCCAAAACCACGGCACAATTATGAGGGACACTGTGCTGAATGTCTCCGGAAATTTTGACCATCTGACGTTCTTCAACATGCACTAACATTGGCCACTAGCATTATGCCGCCTCTATCAAAAAATGACCACCGCAGCTGGAATTAAACTCGCAACATGACGACTATACTACTGTGACTGAGCTAGAATGTTGCCACTGTCGTTCGAATTCGACCTGTAGTTATGTTTCATGAACAGTTTGAATGTAGGCAAATGAAAAATTGTGAACATATCTAGCCAAATAAGTTCAGGTACACAGAAGATCAGTCTTATTGTCATTTATACAAACAAAAGCAACAGGCGGTCGATACAGGCTGGTGCCTCTGTTCTTATTCATGCTGATTTGTTAATAGAAAAGGAAACAGAGCTACTTATTATAGAAAACCTGACATTTTGTGAACAAAGCCCCCGTACGGAAGCCGAAACGTCTGTTATTTCTAAAGTGTTTTTTGGTCGGCGTCTTACTTTTACACCTCTTGACCATGATTAGTCCCGACCAGACGAATTTTCATCAAACTCTAGATTTCACAACTTGGCATTATGTAGCTTTCGTTACACTGTAAGATACTCTATTTTGCTTTGACGCTTTTATGCACACAGTTCACACCATCAACAGCAGCACATCTTGGTGCCAATTTGTGTTAGTCTGTCTATTAGTAATATCAATTTTTTGACGAAACAGCTCACAGTCCATGCAGTGCACTGTGAAGTTTGTGAAGGTCTGTGTGAAGCATGAGGTAGAAAAAATTTTTTACCCTTTTCCCCACTTGCTATAGATGCTGGCCATTTCGGCTTCTTTCGCGGCTTTCTCCTTGGCTTTGTCTGCTTTAGTGGTGTCTCGAAGCTTCACAATTTCTTGCACTTTTTCCTACAAAAACATGAGCAGAATTAAGCACTTGCACCTCCCAAGGGTGTTACGGCCAGCATGCTTCAATTTCAAGTCGACAATGTCTGACATGAAAGTAAATTCTTTCACCCTCCCAAGGTTCCTATGTGCTGAAAAAAAATTGGAGCTAACTTTATGAAAACAGAACGTTATGAGTGTATTTATAAGCACAGATTTATAAGTGTATGCTCTTGAAAGACATTTCAACGTACCATATAATAGTCATTTCAAAGCCTCACACAAAAGCACAAAATGACAGCTCAGGAAGTACAGTTAATCTGTAAAGCAGAAAAATTACAAAACTGGAAAACATTTCACTTCTCTTGAGTGCTCTGTTAGAGGGATGCATAAATCTGCTTTGGTCCAGCTAAATACTTAGCGAACATTGCTTTAGTTAGTTAGTTCAGTTTTTAGTGGCACAAAAGCAGCCAAGACTATGCTTCACCAACCACTGCTTTAGTCCCAATTCAATGTAGTCACTGAACTAGGCTCTGGTACACTACTCAAGAGCTTTCGAACACTCTGGACTTGCGTCCACCTAGCATGCCCAAACCAACTAGCATGCCCAAAGTGCCGCCGAACTTATTTCTCATCGCCCACTCCCCCCTCTACCCCTTCCCAATTTCTTTCTGCACAGACCCACAGCATAGCGACATAAAATCGCACAGAGAAGGAAGAAGCAAGGTATTACTGCACCTTGAACAACGCAAGTGCTGAAAGGCAGAATTTTTTTTATTAGGCTGGCGGAACAAACACAACCTCTGAATCTACTTACTTGGGGCTTCAGAAAAGCTTATGTGGAGGGTCTCAGAATATTCGCACCAAGAGAATTTAAAAAGAAAACTAAAGCAAAGGTATCAAAAAAAAGCAATCTTACCACTAAGTCTGGTTTCTAGGGAAAACATGAAACAAATTAAAATCACAAGTGGGTTTATCTAGGGACTCCACTGCTAGTGTTGGATTATCACATGCCAAACATCCCAGGCACTGCCCTTGACCCAAGCAGATTCTAATTGATTGATTGATATGTGGGGTTTAACGTCCCAAAACCACCATATGATTATGAGAGACGCCGTAGTGGAGGGCTCCGGAAATTTTGACCACCTGGGGTTCTTTAACGTGCACCCAAATCTGAGCACACGGGCCTACAACATTTCCGCCTCCATCGGAAATGCAGCCGCCGCAGCCGGGATTCGAACCCGCGACCTGCGGGTCAGCAGCCGAGTACCTTAGCCACTAGACCACCGTGGCGGGGCAAGCAGATTCTATAATACAAAATTGTCGGCAATCATTTCAATGGACTTTTTTTCTTGATGCAGTACTTGACCAAAAAAAAAACTTTTTTCTGGCCTTACGGGTGATTTGAGTACTGTTGAGGTGGGCAAGACATTAGTTGCTGAAAAATCTCTCAAAGACATTTCTAAGCAGTGTGCCTTGACACAACAGAAAGAATGCCCCTTTCTTATTGGCTCATATTAGCATCCTTTAATGTTTACTAATGATATGCTTTCTGGTGAAGAAACATGCAAGAGTGCAGCAGCCGAAATGGAATTTTGAGCAATTTTCGGAGCAACAAAGTGTTACTTTTGGAGCAGGTATTCCGTGAAAAAAAGCTTTCAATTTTATCATGAAAGACCAAACTTGGAGCAAAATGAAAAAGAAGGCTCACATTTAGAAAAAAAATTATATACGAACCATTCACCATCCCCTAAATCGTGCTAAGCGAATATGAGCACTGCTATTTCAATAAAAGTAGCATTTTGGACCACCTTACCACACAATGATAAAGTACACATTAGCATTTGCCACACCTGTCAAATTGAATTATTTGAGAGACTTTGAGGATTCAGATGCGGATTTGCGAAGCTGGTGACCTCAAGATACGGGAGATTCGTAAAACTGAGGAGTAGGGTTGGTAAAAAAAAACTTACGCACTGTTTTGTTCAATTTTTTTACGGCTGCAGAAATATCATACAGTGCTCCGAATGATTGCCAATAACTTTTGCAAACGGCAGTGATAATATTAGTGCTCATCATTATGAGGCATATACAAGTATGAGCAATTGAACAAATTCTGTGGTGTACTGTGACTAGTGCTAACAACCCCTTCCAAATCTTAAAACGCTTTTTTAAGCCACCAGTGTACTGCAGCGAAGGTGGCTTAAGCGGTGTTTTTCACGGGTTAGTAGGGGGGGGCCAAGAAAGTTTCGAACTGCTACACCCCCCCCCCCCCCCTTTTTTTTTCACGATAGGTTAGGTTTAGGGCACAACTTCTTGGCTTGCTTGCAAGGCACGTTTGACTAGATAAAGTAACAACAGCGGACATCACAGAGTATCTATCAGATGTGCCCTTGCTAAGGTGACTAACACGGTCACCAGCAGTGCCGGTGTTCGCAGCACATAGAGTTTGTTCACAGGCATAACAGTGGCATACACTTCCAGCTTTAGCTTCTATAGCATGACATAGCCGCGTTTGCTGACTAGGAAACTTATATTTACCGCGAGGTGTTGCTGGCTACAGCAACACACTTTTGTCTTGAAGTTGCGTCATCCCGCCGATAAATATTGACTGTGGTTAGCAAACCGAAGGGCGCGTGGCATTGTTACTTCGTCTGGTCGATGGCGTTTTGCAAGTGTCCTGACTATTGTGTACAAGAATAGGGGCAGTGTATTCAGGAAGGGGCCATGCGGTAAGCATGAGATGGTGCTGCAGGAGCATTAGCTGTAGGGAGCCTTCATGTGCGCGCGGAGGCGGTGCACCCATGAAGGCTCCGCGCACATGAAGGCTCCCTCATTGGCTGTACGAACTGACGGCGCAGCGCATCACACTCTTTAAAACACCAACACCAGAATATAAGTAAAACCAGCTCTTCAAGCTATCGCATTAAAAGTGCTGCAATCATTCTCTATCGCACTCAATAGACTCGCGAATGTTTGGCAGATGTGAAGATGCATGCTCGGAATGCAAGTTTATATAAGAGATATAAAATTGGATCAATGGGTTTATCTGCAAGAAATACTCAAGCAAGATGGAGCACCAAAGAAAGTGTTTTGAATCGATTCAAGTGTTTTGAATCGATTTCAAGTCACTTCGATTTCAGCTGCACACTGATTTTGCAGTTCGTATTTGCAATAATGCAACCATGGCGTAAGCGACCTAACGTCAAGCGCATAGTTCCTCAACCGATATTACAGAAGAGAATACAAAACTCTACATAACCCCAAGCCAAAAATATCATCTGCTTGGCACTTACCTACGTGCAAAACACATTTGTCATTCATTCATTCATGTGATTTTCAAATCCCCTGCGATGACTGCATGCACGTAGTTTATTCATGATTTGTTTTTTATTTACATCATGAAGTGCTCATCATCATGTGTCATTAAGACACACAGGAATCATACGTTTCTATGAAAGGAATAAAACTCGTACGAAAGACGCAAAGACGAGGCACCTCTGAATGAATCGTGCCAAGCATGCCAAAACACTGAAAAATAGCGTGACAACTCACACCATGGAGACCAACAGCAGTACTGATATGTTTAAATGAATTCCTTCAGTTTATATTAACAAAATTAGCTTTTCCAAAGAACAGAAAATTTGTACGTATTGAATAAAAAGTGCAAGTGACTCTCAGAATACATGATGCACTAGCCTGCCAAGAACACTGCTAACTTTCAAGTGCAACTTTTTTTTTTCATCCTGCTTCTCTTGACTGATTCAGACCTTTACCATAAATGTGTAGCCTTGTTAGCACATAAAAGCGCATGACTGTTGATGTAAAACAATGAGCATGCAATTTCAGCTTTCACTAGAATCGTGACATCGATCATGGTGTCGCTACGTATCTCTTGGCCGAAGAAGATTGTGAATAGTCCCCTCAAGTTTTTTTTTACTGCTTCAATAAGCAACTTACAGCAAGCCGCCCCTGTCACAAATTTCTGTGAGCTTTGACACTCCACTACGTACACTAGAGTTACTGCAAAATGTGAGAGTAGCAGTCTCTACATTTGTTGCGGGGAAAAATTTGTGTGCAACATACCCGGCCATATAATGAATGGTTAAGGCCGTCCTCGCTCTTTTCTTCCACATAAGCCCGGCGCTCAGCTGGAATACTGTTTACCATTTGCTCTACAATAAAAGTTAATTAATTCAACTTTGCAGTTAACTTGAACTGGTCCGGCAGAGTCTTGTGTATTTCTATGGGGAAAAACTTCTGATAATTCGAACGCGTCGGTAAAGACAATGGTTGATTCGAGCTTCTGGTTTTCAATTGCTCCTTATAGAGGCCAGCCCAAAATGACCACAATGTGTTGAAAACCAAACCAAACCAACTTTACTAGAGATGCAAAGGATTCAAACACTGCACTAGATCTCTTAAACAAGCTGCAAGCAATGCTCATACAGCCTAGACGGAAAAAACACAAACAAATGAAAATTGCTCATTACTTTTAATTTTGATAATGTTAGATCCGCCATGTAAATAAACATGCTTCGCAGTATGAATAGCGCCATATATTTCGACACACAGGCTCACTTCTCACATGAATGCATGTCGGTGCTTGTTTCTGGCGTATCACCAGCTGACCATTCAATTGTGTTCACTGTTACAGCTCCATAAACTCAATTTACGAAACCAAGTGCCACAAACATGCGGTAATCACCTATGTTGTGACAAAGAGTCAAGGAGTAGCTTTTTGGGTTCTGCCCGCACAGTGTGGAGTGATGTCTATTCATTCTAGTGCCCACCTGTTATTAAGAACTCTACTTAATTAGAAAAGTTTTATAGTCTCCTTTGAGTTGAAATAAGTAGCTTTTCTTGTATTAGTGTCAGGTTTACGGCTTCAGCTAACTCATGAAGTGACTGAAATGGTGAGACCAAGTTTTCACTGTCATCAGAGTTTCCCTTTTGCATTGCCGTTGCCAAGTTATAAAACGACAGGCAATTGACAAGAATAAAAAACTGAGCCGGCATTGGGTGATTGTTGGATCTGCAAGAATGTCTCACAGTACCAAAGAAATTCGTCAACTTATTATTGCTTAATCGAGAGGTCAATAAATATATAAAATATTCTATTTTTAAATACTCGAACAAGTGACAGAAATATGTTTTAAAAAGACTATTTCTTGGTCTACTTGGTACTTGCTCAATGACATATTTTAGCTGCGAATACACAGAGCCAAGAAATGCATGCCGACGGACGGCCATCCGTCCTGTCACTATGGGTTTCTTTGCTATGTGTATAGATTATTTTGCGGCTATAATATGTCACTGGGTGAAAGAAATACTGCGTCTGTTCATAAGCAAGCTGGAGCTCTGCAAGCACGCAGCAACCATCCGCAACCCGCCTGTAGAGTCCACGCGACTACAGTACCGCCGCATACATCGAGGATCAACCTACACTCCCAGCTTCAAAGAAGCACTTTGACGCGTGCCGCCGTCTGAATACACTGCGCCTATCCTAGTGCACTGTAGTACTGGCCTGATTAGAATATACTTTACACAGTAGTTTGGGGTTAGGGTGTGCGCACAGTGTTCGGTTTCTAACTAAAGGTTGCCGACGTGGTCTCCATTTCTGGCTGCAATTAGCACAACTGAAAAAAATTTGAGACTAGTTGAGCATCCTGGCACAGTGTGGTGCAGTTTAGGCAAACTTCATGGTTTTGGTGCAGTTCGGCGCAACTGTTCCACCCCTGAAAATGGCAACTCTGTGCCATCTTATACAACTTAAAGTTTCTGCAGGCTATAAACCCAATATAACTGCATCATGTGGCTGAATAATTGCCAGTAAGCATTACAAAAGTATGGAGCTCCATGGCGAGCAGTTTGCAGTTTGAGGAGAAATGGGTGCAAACATAGAAAAAACGTACAAAATGACTCATGTTCAGGCCAATGCAGATCGCTTATGCGGTTTAAGTAAAAATCCACTGCACTCACTTGAAGGATAAACAAGAGAAATTCATTTCTGAATGTTTGATCATAGTGGTTTTTGTTTTAAGCAAAAAAAAAAAGCTTTACGTAGAACATCTGCTGCATCCTTGGATACCTAACTGTAAGTACGCTTCACTGCACGGTGCACCTCCTTGAGGCAACAGAAACATGTGGTGTCCACACAAGTGCCAAGATCATATGCTGCCTTGCACTTGCTCACATTTTGACACAAATTCCCCGGCTTCCGCAGTGCCACTAACAGCGTTCAGATGGTTTTGTGTAATAGCAGTACATAAGAAACATTAGGCATGCATTTCTTTTTATATATCTATATATATGCAGCTAGTTTAAACATAACTCACACCCATTGTGCCTTGCAGACAACTGCTGCTTCTGTATTTCTCACTCTGGGGCTTAAAATACGAACAGCTTTGTCATCTGCTCTCGAGCTGACTTGTTTTACACATGCAGTACAATCTTGATTGTTACTGAAGCGATCCAAGTCTTTTCCTTTCGAGTTAGAGGAACCGCTGTTCGCTGTATTTACATGCTAATACAAACAGATGGCAAAAGAAAAAAAAAAAGAAGCTCTGCAACTTAAAAACAAGGTAGCGCTACTGCCTGCTTTTTGTGGCCTATTCGGTTGGGCGTTTTCGAGAGCTCTGAAAAGTAGCTGCACCTTCAGTTGATAAAATTTGAGCGCTCGAACTACCTTCTGTTGGCTCTATCAGAGCGTCAGCCTCTGACTGGGAGCGCTCCCGACCTACTCCGACTTCGAAGTGGGAGCGTGGCACGATCTGACCTAGAGGACGGATCACGTGACAGATGCTGGCTAATCACGTGGCTGCCCACAGGTGAACGAGGTGAGGTGAGAGCGCGAGCGTGCATTTCGGATGAGGGCATCGCCGGGCGCATAATGCTTAGTGCACGTGTGTTGTTAACGGTGTTTTTGTGTGCATGTGGGTCTAATTCACTTAGACAAAGCCATAAATGCACCATGTTAGTAACGAGGCAGCTAGCCAAGGCGGAGGAAACGTCAATGCTATCATTACCGCAGCTAACAGACAACCTCATGATTTGACTTGGAGATAGCAGTTCGGACGAGGAAAATCGCCAGATTTATGTGCACAGCTCAGAAGGTTCTCGCTGCCCCAGACATGTCATTCCCAGACATGTCAGAGAGAGAGAAAGAGTCAGAGATGTCCACTGAACTGATTGGCACCACTTATAGACGTGGCGCAACAATGTTTACCCGACAGCTTCCCGTCCTCTCAGATCGCCAATGTATTCGGTTGGTACGCTGCCTCTCGCGTTCCGATTGCGAGCTGCCTCTGCATCTGGCGACTCTGAGCCAGAGAACCAGAGCAGCCAACCGAATACGCCATTAGCTTGTTGCATCCGAGCAGAGAGAACTGTGCACATGAGGTTTATCGCTGCACGAAAGTTTTCCTTCTTGCCTGTATACCCTCTCCTGAGCAACCTAATTTTCTTCATGTTGCGCACTAGTGAGTGTTACAATAATCAAAAGATGAATGTTTTTCTCCTCAATGCATTATCATTGGGCTCACCCTTTTGCTTGGGGTTCAAGGAGTGCGACGCCAGATTTTGATTCTGTGGCAATAGCATGATTGTTGCACTGGATGGAACTGGCAACGATAGTGTGCAAGCTTCCCCTATGTAGTTTCTTTCAGCTTATTTCATCGACAGCACCTTGCAATGCCAAAGGTGAGTGAAATATGGTCACACAGGTGCCATTGAAATAGAGTTGAGGGTAGGCATTTTTTGACCTATTCTTATTTTCTAGGCTGAATAACTTTGGACTGCATGACCCTATTGCTGCTGCTCCTGCTGCATTAATCTTTTCGGCCTTCAGTCTACACAACCCACAAGTCAAAAATGCGGGCCGTGAATGTGGTGGAAGGCTCCCTACTTAAGCAGCCTCAAGTTATAATGAGTGCCTTTCATAACTTATGTGATTCTGTGGTATGGTAAAATATGTTACTTCACTTCAAATACTCAAGCAATGCAAGATGTGTTCACATGGGTTCTGTTAGTCCAAGGTCTGCTCAATATTACTGTGGACACTACAGTGTCTTATCCAATAGGCTACTGATGATCAGTAGCTATTTATTATACACACATATAAAGAAATGTATGCCTAATGTTTCTTATGTACTGCTATTACACAAAACCATCTGAATGCTGTTGGTGGCACTGCGGAAAGCCGGGGAATCTGTGCCACAATGTGAGCAAGTGCAAGGCAGCATATGATTTTGGCACCTGTGTGGACACCACAGGTTTCTGTTGCCTCAAGGAGGTTCACCGTGCAGTGTAGCGTACTAAACTGCAGATATACAACACGTGTAGATCACGCAAAAATACTACCAGCATTTCTTCCGGGAATGTATTCAAAGCCTGCCATCCATCTGAGCAAGAATGAAAGTGTGAGCACTGGCATGGACCAAACTTATTTCTGACAGGTTGCCTTACACATGGAAACAGGAAGAAAAAGGCAAACAGATTAAAAAAAATAGAATGTGAAGAGATGCAGCCACTGAGTTGGCTTTAATTTTGATACACTGAAAAGGCTGTTCCAATTGTTTCAGCTACATGGTTCGTTCGCTTGCATGCATAGCTGTATAACTACAAACGTCGGTATAGTACTAATATAGTATAGTTAATGCTGTTGTTAATAGAATCATAAACGAAAGATGTTCCCCAGCCTCTCGGCTGATCTTCATACATAGATGGAAATGCACTGAATGACACATTAAAAAAACGTCCATCCAAAACAACATTCACTTATAGGAGTAATAAGTGAATGTTCTTCTAAAAGTAAAGCAGTAAATCTAAAAATTATGTTCAGACCTCAGAGTATAAAAAAGGCATTATAATAAGCAAACATTCTCACCACTTCTTTGCTCTTTGTGCTTTCCCCTTCCTCTTTCCGGTGCTTTTCCGCCTTATGCTTTGAGGGCGAACCTTTTCTAGTCACTTTTCTACTTTTGTGGGGCGTCTGCTTTGAGCGCTCTCGGAACTTCTCACGCAATTCACCTGGTTCAACTAAGTAGTGCCCAGAGCCATCGGGGCACGAAACCTTCACGGGGTCAGAGCCACGGAGCCTGAACGGCACAGGGCTCTCACTCATACAGCGAGGCTGACGCGCTGGTGTCAAATCACTGTCCGAGCCGCTGCGCTTTTCCGGCGCTTTCTCTGGGCGTGGTGGCGACAGGTCGCTGTCTGAATCACGCCTACAGGGGACACTGTCATTCGTTTTTCGGGAACGCTCCGGTGAAAGGTCGCTGTCAATGTTTTCAGCAGCACGTGAAGTCCTCGCCGGTGATAGATCACTATCCGAGTCGTGCCGCGCTCGTGGCATCCTCTCAACACCACGTTCGTTGCTCGGAGACTGCGGTTCAACCTTGATGCGCACATCGGCGTGATTGGGTGAATGATGTCTCTTGTCGTGCCTGTGGGACTTGTTTCTGGTCGAGCTGTGCTCGGATTCGGTATGGCCTCTTCTCGATTTGGAAGGCGGCTCGGGTGGTTCATTTCGTGCATGAGTTCGACTGTGCTTGTCGTCATTTTTGCTTCGACTGTTCTTTCTTTCTGTCATTTGTTCAGTCGGTTCCTCTTTCACTTTAACCCTGGTGTCTTTGGCCCCAGAATGGTCTGAAGATGAACTTCGCCGTGTGCTCGTCTCTTCCTTCCTGTGTTTGCGTGTAACCGAGGGGACGTCGTCACTTCGCTTGTGCTTCGATGACGACGACGAATGGTACTTTTGAGGAGAATCGTCTCTCTCCCTCTTTGATGTGCTCGGAGACGGTGGCCTCCTCGGTGGTGATGCATCACTGCTCGACTGAACGCTGTCTCGCCCTTTGAGGAGATGGCTTGCGACGGGAACCTTTAGATTCCACCGGCGGTGGTGTCCCCCGGCTGCGCTGGCTCCTCGCACGTTCTTCCTTTTTGTCCGGCAACTCCGCATTCGTGCTAGGCCGCTCCGGGGAGAGATCACTGTCGGAATCGTGCCTGCCTCTGTAGCAAGCCTGCCGCTTTCGCGGAGGCGACTCGTCGCTGTCCTCGGCCGATCTTTTGCCGGCAAGCGCGCCTTCTTTGCCTGCATCTGAATCAGAAGTACCGAGTTAGGACACGCGCGTCATGGGACCATATAAACTACTAAGTTTACCGTTCAAATCACTGAATTGGAAGCGTTAGAGAGCGAACTAACCTTTACCGATTTTCTTCCACTGTGCAGGCGTATACTGCTCCGCTACACGGGCTTGTAAAGGTCGGTCGTCAATAACTGAAGCGACTACGGGTTCGTCGTCTTCGGGTGTTGCTTCGCGACTCTGTGCCGAGGGGATGTGCTTCAAGTCGACGTCGTCATCAAGTATTCGCAACCTATTGAACGAAAAAGCACAAATCGGCTACTCAACAACTTGAATAAGAACCGTCCCATCCAGCATGCATAACGGGAACACCGCAATACAACCGCCTGCCCACTTGAGCTTTCGCGGTTTACTGCCGACACGCAACATGCTCGTAAACACAGTACCCGCAATGCTAAACCGATGAAAGGAGGACCCACCTTTGCGTTGAGGAAGGCTTTACTCGTTTCTTCTTTTTCTTTTCTTTCCCAGACATGTATTTCTCTAGATATTTGAGCTTGTCGACGCTCTTAACCGGGGCAACAACATCCCCGGACGACGCCATGACGGCCGTTTATCCTCGCTCCCGCTTGAACTCATCACCGCATTTTAGCTTGTTTACAAGGCTTCCGAGACAGAGGCACTAACTGCACGAGGTCAGCTTGTTGCTTGTTGGCAATCTCGAAGGCTGCAATATTTGAACTTGTGGTAACGAAGTTCGCCAGAGATGTCGCTATCAGCAACATTAACAATGTGTTTTTTACATTGTGCTTGTTTTATGTAGAATACTTATCAAGTTGACATAATAATTTAAGTTTATACATGTACTACATAAAGTTTAAATTGTCATTAGACGTAGTTATTGCTTATGCGTTCAACCCATTGAGGAAGAAAACACTGGTTCAACCTAATCCATCGTGAGATTCAGAGGAATCCAACAAACATGGCGGCGCCCGGGACACGAAAGAAAGTTATCCAGAAAGATGACTTAAAACGTTTGATGAGAGAGCGAAAGGAGGCACTAAGCTCAGTCATCAAAGAAGATTACGTCGCCATACGCAAGATATCCTTTCATACTGTCGCCGTGATGTCGTGCATGGATTGTTGCACTTTATTTGGAATCTTGCGAGTTCGTGTGTTCTACCTTTGCGTTGCAATGCGTGCTGTGTTATTTTCCTTAATTTAGCGCACGTACAACAGTTTAGGTCAACTGACTTGTTCGGTATGTGTGGTCCACGTGAAGAGCGAGACTCTGTGGACGGCTCACGTTCTTGGGAAAGCGCACAAACAGGTAAGTAAGGTTGCGGTAAACGGCTTGTAATGTTGACGAAAAAAGCGGCGCTGCATTTGATGGTATGCGCAATGAGTTCACCGTCTATCGTGTGGGCTTGCATGCGTACGTTTGTTAATGCATTGTTCTCACATGGCAGAATGTAGAAGACTTCAAGGAAAGTGCTGCCGATCGTCTAAAAACTGACGGGGCACTCGGAAAAGCGCAGAAACGATGCACCCGGTGACACCCAGAACGGTACGTCCTTCTACAATGTTCAACGAAACGTGGTGTTGCGGGAAGCGTTGACTTTTCACCGTCAAAACATGCTCACATTTGTATTTCAGACAAAAACCAGACCCAGCCTGAAAGCTCCAGGTTAGTGTTTCTTTAATACACAGTGATGTCGCGACCATTCAAGTTGTTACTTTCACGATAACGTTAGATATGTAAATTAAATCGTAATGCACATTTCTATAAAAAATGTTATTTACTTCATTACGTACAGGTAGCGCGGCGTGTTCATTGCCGTGTTTAGGTTGTAAACAATTAGCACTGTGTGCTAGAAAGGCAATAAGTAGTGCTATTAATTTCGGTGCATGAGACTACATCTGTTCGAAGGCATTTTAAAATGACCCATTGTGTAGAGAAAACATTTGGGAACTTTAAAATTTGTCATGATAAAATCAGAAGCATTCGAAACCATGCCAAGGATGCATGGTTGAAAAGATTCGCTGCTGCGATCCTTTTGTACTTGCTGAATAAAGATTTGCTTGTTGCAGTCCACCTCAAAAAAGGCAAAGGGGCCTCTCCTTATGGCTGATTACTCGTCAGATGAGGACATGGACGTTGGTGAGTCCACACCAAATCCAAAGCCCACAGAATCTGCACTTCCGAAAGGCAAGTCAGTTTTTTATTGCTCTTAAGCAATTCATGTTATACTCACTGTGCAGGTGCTGATTATTTCTGCTCTTGTATTGTGCTGCTCACTAGAGCAGCCAGCCATTCAGGGTCTAAAAAAAAATGTCCTCACGTATAGGTTCTCAGCACCATAGTCTTTGAAGAGCCAGTAAACCGGCACTAACTTTTTTTTACCTCCCAAACAAGCTCGCTAATTCGTACAGTAGACTGGGCAAATCACATTTTTCCTATATTACAGCACTGCACAGACTTTCCTTTTGATAAATAAACAATGCCTACACCTCTTTCCTTTACCTGACGAATTCCCCTCGTGCACTCAGGAACACAATCTTGCCCATGGGCAACTTGACGTACTACTGAGCTCGTCGGTTGGTCTAAACCAGGCCTCAACAAACAGTTGTCGAGCTAACGTCAGCTGTCATTCCCACCCACCGCTGTGAAACTGCACTGCGGTGATGCAGTTTTGGCCACGCAGTTGTCCTGCGTGTATTCCTCGCGCATCATAGCACCTGCACGCACTGCACCTGCTGCTGGGTCATTGTCATTCCCAGCTTTGCGTAGACAAGGCATGTCACCATAAGGATCTATATCGCCGAATAACATTTCAAGGCGTGCATGCTGTGCGGGATTCATAATAGGAGCACGTGCGTCAGTGTAAACAGTACACAACCATGAGCCAATGTTACTACATTGACCAGGAGCCATAGTGAGCGAAAATGCACTGGAACTGGTTGAGGTTGCCGGTGACATCAATCGCTGACGTCGTGTCATGTTGCCCAATCAAGTGGAGTCACAACGGCGGGCTGCACCTTCCCTTACCCATGGCGGAGAAAAGTGGTGAGGCCGCATGAGAATTTTGAAATGAGCTATAACGGTTGTTCTAGCCGCTGTAAGTTCCTTATTATAGCACATATTCACAAAATTTTTGCAGGAGCATGTTCGCATAAAAAAAAGTGCGCATATTTTTATTAGTTTTTGGACCTCGGGGCTGTTTACTGGTCCTTTAGGTCATCATACTGTGAGACAAGCTAACGCTAACTCTATGGAAAGCAGGCATGAACTGGTAATTGACACAATTTATTCAGAGTCTTGGTGCAGAGGCAACCGAATCCTACCTGTGCCAGCCACATTTTGATAGCACAGCGAAACACTAAGAGACGGTGTACCTATTTTTGAAGTCAATGGTTTGACAATGAATCATCTGGTTGGGAAGAGGCATGATGAAATAGCTAGTTGATTGAACGCTCACCAAAACGAAAAATGTTTAAAACAATAAAAAATTATGTTTTAGCTTCTAAACGCAAGTTTTGTTCACACAAGCAACTTGTGGGTGAATACGGTATTTGTATCTGTGCCGAAATGTCATTTTTTACGGTTTTAAAACTTTTCATTTTGGTCCGCATTCATTCATTTCTTTTTTCTCATCATACTTATTTTTGGGTGAAGATTTTAATAACCCCAGGTGGCTGAAATTTTAGAGCCCTTCCCTACAGCGTCCCCCATATTACCGCTGTGGGCAGTGAAAATGCAACAATTGTTGCTATAAATCTATTCAGAGGGAAGAGCAACAAACAACGGACAGAGTACAGATTAAATATTTGTTTTCCTTGGAAGTATTATTTGTTTTCCTTGGAAGCATAATGGATTCCGGAATGCAAGGATAATGCCACTGCACCAGAAATAACACCTCAAAGGAATACTGACATAAAAACTTTACATTTTATTTGTTCTGTTGCAAAAAGTACCCAACAACTCATTTATCACAGCTAGAAACTGGGGGTGTGCAAATATTTGAACTTTCAAATATTTTTCTTATAGTGTTTGTTATTTGATACGATTGACACTGCAATTTTACTATTTGAACTTCCCGCAAACTAAGTACAGTCAACGTTGAATTGGCAGTGGCCCCTCAAGGTTTTCAATATGCTTCATCCTGTCATAGCTGGTTGAGGTAAACAGCGCAAAAAATGAAGACAGAGTAAAAAAAAGACACGAGACAATGCTCGTTCTTTCTTTACTCTGTCTTCGTTGTGCTTTTTACTTTGACCAGCTATGAATCCTTACCAATTTGCCCAGTTTTCAATACTATTCGCCTTATCACACTCTCGTATCGTGGCAAAGCTGTCTTTCAGGTTCTGATACTGTTGTAAACATGTTGAATTAAGAAAATAGTGGTTTTAAACATGGCGATGATTGACGTGGCACAAGTGGGGGCTCGATTCATGCTGTTTCAGACTTGAAATTCGGGCAGAAAATTTTGACAGTCAGTTTTCATGTTTGATGAGGCATATATGACTTTAGCCTTTAAAATATTACAGGATTTCTGTGAAAACTATGATGTTATTGAATGAGCAACCAAACTTTAAACATGGCACAAGCCGTAGGGATAAATAAATGCAGTATAGAAAAACCACGGAAAAGTTCTATAAAGTATTCCTTAACCTTCCTCAATGACTAATTTAAAGCAATGATTCATTCGAGATGGCTGTTAGTCCGATAAATATGAAGCCGTTTTGAGATATCTTCTTAATCAGGTACTATGTGTAAGTCAGCCTGAATGTTTGATGTGTGAACAGTTTGATGTGTTTGAGATACCAGGCATTAGTCAGTCTTAAAGGATTGATGTGCGCAGTTGAGAGTTGTAACCACTGCACTTGCACGGCGTATTAAGATCTGCCTGAGTCCTTGAAGAACTGTTGTTCATCCACAGATTGTGAATAGACGCTTCAAGGAACCAGAAGAAACATGCTTTTATAGCAGTAGTACACCGCGTAGCCGAAGTAGCATGCGTGTGTTGTAGGCGTGTGCAAATATTTGAATTATTAAAATATTCGAACGACTATTACAGTATTCGAATTTCCTTTGAATTTAAATTATTGCAAATTTGAAATATTCTCAATGAACGAATAAATGTATACAAGTCTGCATGTAACCTCTTGTAAAGGTGGTTTCACTGCAGTAGGCTAATGCTAAGCTTACAAAGCGCCTATCCAGGAGGACACACTGCCGTGGCTCGTGAATCTCTATTTAAAGGTCAATTGAACATATTACCCTCTCATAGATTCTATTCATCATTTCTTTAAGTTTGAAAGCTTGTTATATGGCTTATATGTGCTCTCAGTATAGTAAGCTTTAAAACCCAACATGTTTTGCAGATTATCACTTGCATTCTACCGAAAGTTAAATACTGCTGGTATTCAAAGTTGTTTCCCCTTCTCTCGAACCAAAAAGAACGGCCTTTGCACAGGCATCATCTACATTCTATAAATATATATATATATATATATATATATATATATATATATATATATATATATATATATATATATATATATATATATATATTGTTACAGAAAAGAAGAGACGCCGTGTCGACGAGGCTGTGGAATAGATAAACCACTGGTAATTGCGTGACCAGTTCACCACCGAGCAAGCAGAGACCACACTTCGTCTTCGTTGTCAGGCACACACGCGCGTCGCCCCCTAGAATCTCACTATGCCTGCATGTAGCATAATCCCCGGCGGCAGAAGCGTTGTCTCGGCGCATCTAAATGTCAACGTCACTAGGAGAGTGGTAGGGCTTCAAGCGCGCAACATGTACAATATCGGTAGCCTGTTGGGCACATGAAGACAATGGGGTGGCAGGACCAATTTCATATGTTACAGGCGTAACCACACGGAGGACACGGTATGGGCCTGTGTAGTGAGTAAGCAGTTTTTCTGACAAGCCAACTTGACGGGTCGGAGACCAGAGCAGTACCAAAGAACCGGGTGGAAAGTGTACGTCGCGGTGTCGTTGGTCATACAAGCGCCGTTGCTTCTCTTGAGAGGTCAGAAGGCGAGTACGGGTGATTTCGCGTGCGTGAGCGGCCCGAGTGATAGCGTCCATGGCATATTCACTGGTCGGTACTCCAGGGGACGGTATGACGGTGTCTAGAGGCAATGTTGGTTCTCGGCCAAACAGCAGAAAAAATGGAGAGTAACCGGCAGTGTCATGGCGCGAAGAATTGTAGGCAAATGTGACGTACGGCAACGCGAGATCCCAGTCGGTGTGGTTGGTAGAAACATACTTAGCGAGCATGTCTGTAAGAGTTCGATTTAGGCGCTCCGTGAGTCCATTGGTTTGCGGGTGGTATGACGTAGTCAGCTTGTGTCTCGTTTTACAGGACTGCAAGATGTCGGCTATGACCTTCGACAAAAAGGTGCGGCCACGATCTGTAAGCAGCTGCCGTGGGGCTCCGTGTTGCAAAATCACGTCCTTGAGGAGGAAGTCGGCGACATCTGTGGCGCAGCTTGTTGGGAGAGCTCGTGTGATGGCATAACGCGTGGCGTAGTCGGTGGCCACGGCTATCCACTTGTTACCCGAGGAAGACAAGGGAAAAGGGCCAAGTAGGTCCAAGCCAACGCGGAGGAACGGTTCTGACGGAATATCGAGTGGTTGAAGGCGTCCGGCGGGAAGTGTCGATGGCGTTTTGCGGCGCTGACATTTCTCACAAGCCGCAACGTACCTTCTGACTGAGCGTGCAAGCCCTGGCCAGTAGAAGCGTCGGCGTATTCGGTCGTAAGTGCGTGACACACCAAGGTGACCAGCAGTCGGAAGGTCATGAAGTTCATGTAGAACTTCCGAGCGAAGGTGTTTCGGAATGACAAGCAGCAGAGCCGGTCCATCCGGCTCAAAACTTTGGCGGTATAATACACCATCGTGGAGCACGAACGAGCGATAGGACTGACTGGAAGATGGTGATTTGAGGCGCTCAATGATAGCACACAAGGACGCATCATGGCACTGCTCGTCACCGAAGGATGTCATTTGCGAAAAGGAAAAGACTCTAGGCTCAGTGTCGGTGTCAGGCGTAGTGCTTGACTCAGCAACCGAGTAGCGGGACAGGCAGTCTGCGTCCTGATGTAGGCGTCCGGATTTGTACGTCACCGTGTAGGTATACTCTTGCAGTCGCAGAGCCCAGCGCCTGAGCCGGCCAGTAGGATCCTTTAGTGACGTAAGCGAACATAACGCATGATGGTCAGTTATTACAGAGTAGTTTGTGTCATATAAATATGGGCAGAACTTTGAGACTGCCCAAACAAGAGCAAGACACTCGTTTCTGTAATGGAATAGTTGCGCTCTGCAGCTGTGAGGAGGCGGCTAGCGTAGGCGACAACTCAGTTGTGTCCCCGTTGGCGTTGGGCTAGGATGGCTCCAATCCCGTGACCACTAGCATCGGTTCGGACTTCTGTCGGAGCGGATAGGTCAAAATGAGCCAATATAGGCGGAGTCGTCAGAAGCGTGATTAGATGAGAAAAAGGAGCAGCTTGGTCGGTACCCCACGTAAACGTGATGTCTTGCACTGTATTAGAGCTTCCTCGATTTATTTCAGGGGTAGTATCACTCTGAAGGTATAATCAATGTTTAGGGGTACATTCAATCACATTTTGTAATCCGATGTGCACCGTAGAACTGCAGCGCTGGTGTCGCTTCGATGCCAACACACAGGCAATGGTGCCCCTAGGATTGCTCCTGTCCATATATCAAACTTTCGCCAAAGCTTCATGACCAGTATAAGTAGAAGAACTCTGATAACTATATATAATCAACTCTTGTTTGGACAGTTTCTTTTGATAGCAGCATTATGTAAGCTGAAATGTCTACTGTAAAAATTGGCAGTCACCTGGAAGACGAAGCATACAAAGCTATAGTAAATGCTAGTTAGTGGTGGTTTGAGGAGAGAAAAGATGCTTGACTCTGGAACCCATGAGGGAGCATGGTGCCACATCTTTAGAAGTTGGGGAGGGGGAGTTAAGAAGAGAATGAAAAGGAGTGGATACCCTCTCTAGAAGCAAGCATCCTCAACACTGAGTGCCAGGCTGGTTTTCCTCTTTGTCCGTTAAAAAACCGGTTCTTGACTTAGGCTATCTATATTAATTTATGTGCATTCTTCTGTACATATTACATCATAAGAAAGGTTATTTGACAAGCAGTGGTGCCTTCACAGTAGCAACTGGAGCAGTGTAGCCATGCACACAAATTTCCAATTGAGTGTGCTCATTTTTTTTTTTTTCTGCAATCTACAAAAGGCCATCAAGTTAACATTTTCTAAATTGATGTCGTACGTCATTAATGGTTGGGTATCACAACTAGCAGATTCTTACATTTCTTGCCAATACCAGAATTCTAGCGCTTTCATTCTGAGCCTAGCGAGGTGATTCCTGCTAACTACTTGGACGAGGACAGAATGGGAGGCGGCGCATCAGTGGGACAGAAGGAGAGATGACACCAGTGGTGTGTCGTCTCCCCTAGTGGTTAGTAGACAGGAAAATACTGATAAATCATTTTGCATATCATTCACTCCATTACTGCAGTATGATTCCAGTCTGTGACCTGTAAACTTTCTGTCAATATAAAGAAGGAATGGGTATGTATTATAAATATTGGTTGTCGTTCCTTTCAACCTCACAAACCAGTCAGCCACTTTCCAGTGGAGAGCCCTCGTAGATTTCTTAAGTGAATAAATGGCTCTGATGGTGAATGTCCAGTGAAATATTGACTGTAGGATTTTCTATTTTTTCAGACTTTTTTGATAAACCATCCGTGAAGTCAGCCCAAAGAAACTACTGCAAGTCAGCCTCCACAGCCAAAGCCACAGACATCGTCTAAAAAGGCACCTGCAGAAGCCTTACCAGAGGGCTTCTTTGATGACCCTGTCTTGGATGCAAAGGTATTAGATAAAAAAAATTTCAAGCTACTGATTCTTACTTCCAGACAACACTACTGTTCAGTTTTTGCCATATTATGAGTAGTTGCATTTCTGTAAGGATCATAGTTTAATCTCCAAAGCGTCTCTTCTTAGCGAGTGCTTTTTATTGCATTATCAACAAGTGCTCTAACATATGAATTAGAATGGGCTAGATATTGTACAATACAGCCATGTAAAAGCAACAGATAATGAAGCCAATAAAAGTATAGCGGGCATTATTTGTGGTTTTTAAAAGGGCCAGTAAACAGGCTATCACTTTTTTACATCACCCTCTCAAGTAAGCAGTGTCAATTCATATTTGGACTATATCACAGTACTGCGTGATGCACAGTCACTCCATTTTAAAGAGAAGTTCACGTACCCCTCTCCAGCACCTGCTTCAATCCTCCTTGTATGCAAAGTGAGGTGATCTTGCCCTGGGCAACATTATGCAGCACCAGAGGTCAGCAAATAATGTGTAGCTCACCCAGACTCGCTCATTAAATATATTTCCAATAAAAACATCAAGACGATGCCTTTTCAGAGAGGGGCAATGCCACACATACTCGGGTTTTTTTTTTTATTTCTGTGTTTCATGTTGCTGGTCCTTCACACTTGTACATGGTGCCTTGCACAAATCATACCACAACGTCTGGAAGTATTCGAGATTACCTTGAGATCATTTTTTAGGTGGGAGTGTGCAAATCGAACAGCTGAGTTCGTTCCAGAACAAATTCAGCCACTAGTAGCAATGCTAGAATGTTCGACACTGAATTTATAAATGCCGACATGCCTTGCGGCGGATCAGTTAATTGACGGCTGACGCTCTGTTCGCTGCTATAAGTGCCAGTGTGTATCGCTCTAATCTGACTTTTCGTTGACGGGCCACAAGTTAGGATAAACAGTTTCGTCTTGGACATACAGTCTGCCGTTTTCGTCAACATCACAACGTGACAATATTTTGCTCCTAGGGCTCACGTGGACTCTGACTCACTAAAGTGTTTCTCAACCCGACTCAAGCTCACCGAAATATTGCTCACTTGCGCTCAGACTCACCGCTAAATCTGAATATAAGTGAGTGGACTTGCGAGTTTTTAAGCATAAAATTAGCATTTTCGACCATGATACCAATGCTCTTTAACAAGAACAATTCACATATTCGATGGTCTCCTTGGAGCCTTTTGATCTGATATGCTACCTTCAATTACAAACTGTCAGTGGTTGCTATACAGTAAGGACATCTTTATTGAAAGAGACGACTTACTCAGGTAAGTTTATCAAGAACTTCCTGTCTAACAGTTAGCAGGTTGGTCAAGGCACCCCACCTCTGATCAATAAATTAAGGTGGCATATGATTGCTACATTTGTGCATTGAAGTATGAGGCAATAGGTGTGAGTATAGACTTGAGCCAACATAAAACTGATATAGTCATATTGAAGTTAAGTAGGTAGAACCATAGGTAGGCAAATATTTTGGAGCTCACAGAAACTCACTCAAGAAATGTATTTCCCGCTCAGGGCTCATTTAGACTCGAACTCACTGAAATTTTTCTCAACCAGACTCACTCAGAAACTCACTAAAATATTACTGTCTCAGGCTCATGGCTCAATCTAAGTCTGTGCGAGTCTGAGCAAGTCGACTCATGGGTGAGTTTGATGCATAGCATCAACTTTATCAATTAGTCCTTTGCACTACGAAATTGCACCACGGTCCTGAAATCATGCAGTTTTGGCAGCGCAGTCCACACTTTCATTTTCCTGGACGGAAGCCCCGAGACCATCGGGATAAGTAGCATTGCCAACACGAAGGCTTTTAAGACGAAGAAGCGTCATGCGACTTCACTGCTAATCGAAGGGCGAATACTTTTGGAACTCCTTGTACCATGCTTTCTTCTCTTACCACTATGAGATGTGCAACATGTGGAGGATGCCTTGCTCGGTCGTGTGCTGCGCGTTGATGATGTCTGCGATTTCGCTGACGTCATTCTATGTTGCTGAAGTGGATGTTATCACGACAAAGGTCTCTGTCTACCCCTCTCTGCTGAGAGAGAAGGGTGGAAAGGACAGTCGAGCAACTAAACCAGTCAGAGCGGTTCTTTCTAGTTCCCTGTAACTTCCTTGCTATGGCACTTCTTCTTAATGTCCTTGTGGCAGCATTTTGACATTGTACAAGTGTGGAATTATTTATTCATTAGAAATTTTGGACTGCAAGTTTGTTTATTGACCTTTTAATAGAACTGTTGTACCATACAAAACAAAAAAGGAGTGTGAAATGGATCTGAGAAACAACTTGCCACCAATGGAATCTAAGCTCACATTCCCCAGATTACATGTTCGCCGGCCTATCCTGTGTAATAAATAAACTTGTGTGGATTTCTCGCAGTGATGCCTTTGTAATGCACATAAAAAGCATTACACAGCTAAACCCTCTGCACAGTATGTGTCAGTGCAGTGTATACCACAAAAAAATGTTTTAAGATTTTTTTTCGTGAGCCACTAGTGATAGTGTTGAAGCGCAGTGGATCTATGCTGCATGATCCCCATTCTCACGGAACCAGGTAGTAATGATGCCATTGTCAAAGTAGCGAGTGTCATGTATAATGACTTAAAAATTTAACAAGCATGCTTAGAGCATGCTATTCAGATTTTACTGGCTCACCCTTACTCTGTCAGGTGTCCGTTTCGGTGGAACTGTGGCTACGGTGCACGGCTGCTGACCCAAAGGTCCTGAGATCGATTCCAGCCACGGCGGTCGCATTTTGGTGGAGGCGAAATGAAAGGGGCCCACATTCTGTGCAATGGTAGTGCACAGTATGCGGTCACTACCATTTTAATACCATAAAGAACACCATATGGTCAAAATTTCTGGAGCCCTCCATAACAGTGTTTGTTGTAGTCATCGTGGTTTTAGGATATAAAACTTCAGATAATATTATTGTCATTATGTTACCACGCTGTCAGAGTGCATACATGTAGCTGTGCATATGGTGCCTGGTGTCACTTTTCAGTTTCAATAAACATTGTACACCAGAGTGGAAGGGCTGACCCTAGATGAGTAAATACAGTAACACCACTACATGTAACTTTCGTACAGTGGCAATTTTTCATACTTACTTCCTGGTGATTTAGCATGGCTATGATGTCATGCTGCAGAGCCTGAATGTCATGAAGTCAATTCTTACCCATTATGGCCTCGTAACATGTGCATAGAATGAAAAATAATGTACCGTGTTTTAGCAATTCAACGAAATAGTATTCCTGTTGGTAAAAGTTAACCTAAGGCTCCTTCGTGACAACCTATCTTAAAGCTACTCTGTTGCTTATCAAGCCTCTCCAGTCATGTATGAAATTATTAGTATATGAAACAGCAAAATAAAAAATGTGTTGCCCTAGAAAATTTATGTGTGTGAATATTCTGCAATAACATTAGTGTGATGATGCCACCAACCAGTAATGTGGTTGTGTTTCTGTATATTTGTTTTCTGTATAATGTTCACAGCAGCACATCTATATGCTGGGCAGATGTATTTTCTGCATTAAAAAAAGGGCTGCACCGCACCTTTCAAACTATGCATAATTTCCATTTGCTGTGTTTCTGTAAATACCATGTTTTCTAATTGCCACTTGCAGTCTATATTCTGTGAATAGTAGTGGTGGAACTATGTTCTTTCACTCTTTAGTGAAACTAACAAACATTTTTCACAAGTTGATTTTTCTGTCGATTTATTATTTAGGCAAGGAATGTGGAATACAAGGACCCGATTGAAGAGGAGTGGGAGAAGTTTAAGAAGGAAATAGCGGAGGAAACGACGGTAAGACCACAGTTTGCTTGAGGATTAATTATGTCTGCAAATTTTTGTCTCTTTTCAAGCGGTTGGTTTGGAACACTTCCCTCTTAATATTTCAATTATATTTACATCCAAAGTAGTTGTCGAACCCACTTATAACAATACTGGTTTTAATAATACATTGGTTACAACATTGAGAAAGGGCTGCACTCTCAGCTTTTGTATGTTTTCTATGGCAAAATAACCCATTTACAGCAATGCCCGCATGCTGCATTATTGGTTATATCAATGAATTCTGGCTGTTGGGTGTTCCTGCTGGAAGGCAATGGAACGGGAAAGCAGCGAAAAGAAAAAAAACTTCACAGCATATCCACGGAGTGAATGATGATGATTGGGGTGAAGCGTTCGTCTGCCTGTTCGTCAATTATACGAAAACTACTAACACCATCTAGTGATACTATTTCGAAAGTCATTCACACAATGCCTTCTCGTGAGCGATTGTTAAAACTAACTTAAGTGGCTACTCCTACAGCATACTACTACGAGAAATACGACTGACACCCTAAGGAGCTACGCTCCTTAGGGTGTCAGTCGTGTTCAAAACAAGAATATTCAAGCTGCCTTACCATTGCCCACAATTCCAACAGTCGTCCCCCAGCGTCTATTCAGATTCACATTATGCTTCACCTCAGAGCGTGCTGACATTGCGGCAAAGCTGACTTTTGAAATCCGCTTTTGCATGGGTGTGGTGTTGGCTTTGGGACATGCAATTCGTACCACGCAATTTAAGTAAAAAGTTCAAATTTAGTAAGACTTCAGCCCCTGAAACTTCAGGCGTTGTCTTGCGCTATAGTGCTTGTGGCGGTTACGCAAACGTGTCCGAATTTTCTATCATGTTCGAAAAGTCTGCAGCTTTGTCATCCTTATCAGTGATGTCTGTCGGAATATCCCACCTATTTTTCTAGCAACAGCCTGCTGTTCGCTACTTCTCTTCATCTCGCACAACCTGTTGATATTGTAGTGGGGAATTCGCCAGGCAATGACTAGTGGGACCATCGCTGAGTGCGAAGCGGGAGTACGAGCTGTAGACGCTGGACTGCCCAAGCATTTGTTTCCGTACCGGCTGTCTGCCTATTACCTGGCGTCGCTACTAAACCCCCTTGCAAAGTGGTGGAAGTGTGCTGGGTACGCAAACCTAGAACTTCGAAGCCGGAAGCTGCCCACTGCATCAGCAATGCCTGATCAGACGACCGAGCAAGGCACCACCCAGCAAAGCAGGGCCCAATCTCAACTGGTCATCGTGCCTACCACCCTGCGCCAACGGGATCCGCCCTCCTTCAGCGGCACCGAGGACCAAGATGTGGAGGACTGGTTGCAGCTGTTTGAAAAGGTGAGCGCCGCCAACAAGTGGGACGACCCCTCGAAATTGGAGTATGTCCCATTTTATCTCAAAGACGTCGCCAGCCTGTGGTTCACAAACCACCGTACTGAATTTATCACTTGGGCCGGTTGAAGACCACCCTCGCAGCTGTGTTCGATCGCCCCGCAGTGCGCAAACTGCGTGCTGAGCAGCGCCTACGCGGACGTGCACAAAGGCAGGGCGAAAACTTCACTAGCTATATTGAAGATGTAATCGATTTATGCCGGCGCTTTAATCCTGAGATGACCGAACATGACAAGATCAGGCATATCTTGAAAGGCCCTAGAAAATTTATGTGTGTGAATATTCTGCAATAACATTAGTGTGATGATGCCACCAACCAGTAATGTGGTTGTGTTTCTGTATATTTGTTTTCTGTATAATGTTCACAGCAGCACATCTATATGCTGGGCAGATGTATTTTCTGCATTAAAAAAAGGGCTATATGATGCCTATCAAATGTTGCTGGCAAAGGGCCCAAGTACCGTATCCGAACTTGTGACCTTGTGCCAGAGCTTAGAAGAGATTCAGAAACAACGTGCAGCAGTTCGGAGGTCGACGACTGCAGACGACTCTCTCGCTGCCCTGGCCGTCGGTGGTGACAGCTCCCTGCTGGAGCAGATAAAAGAATACGTACGCGAAGAGGTCGCACGACAGCTTTTGTGTCTCTCGTATCTGCCGACCACTGAAGCACCAACGAACCGCCTAACGCCGACAATCAGACAGTCTCCAAGGCGTTGCCATTACCTACGCCTGCCTCTCCACCAACGCCTGTGGCCACGCCACTGACTTATGCGACCGTCGCGGCAATGCCTCCATCTCGTCTGCCAATGTATACGTCACAACCTGTGCGACCGTCCACCGCGCCGTTTCCAGCTACACAGCAGCACGCCGGAAATCCTTGGCGCACTGCTGACAACCGGCCCATATGTTACTTTTGCAGAATTCCAGGTCAGGTTGCACGTCTATGTCGTCGGCGCTTCACAGTTAATGCACCAAGATATCCTGACTATTCGTTTCGGCCTCCATATCACGCGCCTCACGTGCCACCTGAAGTTCAGGAACGCGATGCGCAAACTGCTTTTGGCACCCGAACATTCGCTTCTAGACGTTCTACTTCCCGCTCGCCTTCACCTTCAACAAGTCGTCGTTCTGTATCGCCTATTCGTCGACGACCCACCCCCATTGAGACGGAAAACTAACTGCCCCAGCTCCGGAGGCACGAGCTGCGCCATCGTCTAATCGTTTAAGTCCTCGCCTGTTTCCCGCCAATCTTATCGATGTAATCGTCGAAGGTGTACGAACACTCGCACTCATCGATACCTGTGCCGCGATATCTGTCATTAGTCAAAGACTCTGCCGCTCTCTTCGTAAAGTGACAATGCTTTCTCCCGTGGTTTCTCTTAGTACTGCGAGCGCCCAACGAATTGAGCCCGTCGCGGCATGTACAGCAAAAGTGGTTATTCGAGACGTGTTGTACACCATTGAATTTCACGTGTTGGCTTCATGTTCCCACGATGTCATCCTAGGATGGGATTTTTTATCGCGTCATCACGCCGTCGTGGACTGCGCTCGGGCCGAAGTGGAGCTGTTACCGTTTCGTGATGCGCCTTTTGTTGATGCGGCCATATCTAGTATGGCTAACCTTGTCGTCGCCACGGACATAGACCTTCCTCCTTTCAGCGCCCAGTTTGTCCCTGCCTGCTGTGCTTCACTTTCTGCGCTACCGTCCTATTCACGCCATCTGACATCTTCGGTAGCCGCCACCACACATCGCTGCCATTCGCCGTTCTTGCGCTTTGTCAAGACACCACCGGAATATTTATTTCCAATCCGAACTCGTGCCCCCTCAGTTTGCGCCACAATGAGACGCTCGGCCACATTCAGCTTATCGATAACAGTACTATCGTGCCTGCCGATTTCTTCCGACACCAAGCCGAATATAGAGCTGAACGCGTTGGTCCCTCACTTTGCCTCAAACAGCGTGTCGTCCGATGCATTTCACAGTTCTATTGACAGCCATCTCGCCCTGGCTCAACGAGAGCAGCTTGTTACCCTGCTGCACGAATTCAAGCGTTCGTTTGACTTTCCCCAAGCGGTGCTAGGAAGAACGAACACCGTTGTGCACACAATTGACACAGGAAAGAGTACTCCTTTTCGCCAGCGCCCTTATCGTGTGTCACCAGCGGAGCGTCGGGTAATTGCACAACAAGTAGACGACATGCTACAGCGTAGAGTCATCAAGCCTTCTTGTAGTCCTTGGTCTTCCCCAGTTGTACACGTCAAAAAAAAGGATGGTTCAATCCGGTTCTGCGTAGACTACAGGCGCCTAAACAACATTACGAGGAAAGACGTTTACCCTCTTCCCCGCATAGACGACGCTCTCAATTGTCTCCAAGGTGCAGAATTCTTTTCCTCGCTTGACCTTCGCTCGGGTTATTGGCAGGTCCCAATGGCTGAGTCTGATCGTCCAAAAACGGCGTTTGTCACACCGGATGGCCTCTATGAATTTACCGTGATGCCATTCGCACTCTGCAATGCACCTGCCACATTCGAGCGAATGATGGACAGCATTTTACGCGGTCTCAAATGGAACATTTGCTTGTGCTATCTTGATGACATTGTGGTTTTTTCACCCGATTTCACTTCGCATCTCACTCGTCTGCGTAAGATTCTACAGTGCCTTACAAATGCCAGGCTTCAGCTTAACCTGAAGAAGTGTCAGTTTGGGGCTAAACAACTCACCATACTTGGTCATGTCGTCTCGAAAGCCGGCATTCTTCCCGACCCTGACAAGCTTCGTGCTGTTGCCGAATTTCCTAAGCCGACTACTGTTAAAGAACTATGGAGCTTTGTGGGCCTGTGCTCCTATTTTCGTCGCTTTGTCCGAAACTTTGCCTCCATCATCGCTCCACTCACCAAACTTCTTGCTGGCCCTGCAGATCTTTCGAATTGGAGAGCAGCCTGTGACCAATCCTTCGCAACACTGCGCCAACTCCTTACCTCACCACCCATACTGCGCCATTACGACCCTACTGCGCCAACCGAAGTACACACGGATGCAAGTGGCGTCGGCCTTGGTGCAGTACTCGCGCAACGCAAGCCAGGTTTTACGGAGTATGTGGTCGCCAATGCCAGCCGCACCCTCACGAATAGTTGGCAGAAAAATAGTTGGCAGAAGCCAACTATTCTGTTACGGAAAAAGAGTGCCTCGCGATTGTGTGGGCGTTAAACAAGTTTCGCCCCTATTTATACGGCCAAACTTTTGATGTGGTAACTGACCATCACGCACTCTGTTGGTTGGCTTCGCTGAAAGATCCTTCCGGCCGCCTCGGATGTTGGGCACTGCGCCTCCAGGAATTCGACATACGCGTCGTCTATCAATCGGGGCGAAAGCACTCTGACGCAGATGCGCTTTCACGATCACCCGTGAAATCTGATGATACGGATATATCAGCCCTGGACCTTCCCCTCTCTGCCGTCAGCGTCACAGACATGCTATTCGAACAGAGGAAGGACCCTTGGATTGCTTCGCTTTTGAATATGCTTTCTGACGCATCAACTTCCGGTTACCCGCGTGCTCTTCGCCGCCAAGCAACGCATTTGGCCATACTGGATGGCCTGTTATACCGTCGCAACTATCAAGTGGCGAGTCGTAAATGGCTGCTAGTCATACCCAGCCATATGCGGTCTGATATCTGCAAATATTTTCATGCTGAACCGCAACACGCACACGCCGGTGCGCTAAAGACGTATGAGCGAATCCGCCATTGTTACTACTGGCGGGGTATGCACACGTTTGTACGCAAACACATTCGCTCATGTTCCCAGTGTCAGCAGCGCAAGACATTCCCTCATTTACCCGGTCAACTGCAGCCTTTGCCATGTCCTGCACGCCCATTTGACCGTGTTGGGATTGACCTATACGGCCCGCTTCCGTGCTCTGTTGGTGGTAATCGATGGGTGATTGTGGCTGCCAACCATCTGACAAGGTACGCTGAAACGGCAGCGCTACCTTTGGCTGGTGCTCGTGACGTTGCAACCTTCATCTTGCACCGATTTGTTCTTCGTCATGGTGCACCACGGGAGCTCCTGAGTGACAGAGGACGTGTATTTTTGTCTGAAGTTCTGCAGCAGCTCCTACATTCATGCCGTACGGTACACCGCACATCAACAGCCTACCACCTTCAGACGAACGGCCTAACGGAACGTTTCAACAGAACCCTCGGAGACATGCTCGCTATGTATATTGATTCCGACCACTCCAACTGGGACGTTGTTCTTTCTTTCGTGACGTACGCCTACAATACGGCGATTCAATCAACAACAGGCTTTTCTCCATTTTTTTTTTATATGGTTGTGACCCACGCAACACACTCGACACAATTCTGCCATACAATCCTGATGCCTCCGAGTTCAGCCCAGTTTCTGAAATGGCTGAACATGCCGAAGAGTGTCGTAAGCTTGCATGGTCCTTCACAGCCAATAACCAAGCCCTCCAAAAAAATCGCCACGACCATGATCTTGTTCAGAATACCTTCCCCGTCGGTTCTCTCGTGTGGATCCGACTGCCTTTCCACTCTCCTGGACTGACTACCAAGTTTGCACCGAAGTATACAGGCCCTTACTGCATCATACAGCACCCTTCTTCTGTCACCTATGTGATTGAACCGCTCAAGCCGTCCACGGACAAGCCTTGGTCGTGAGATGGTCCACGTCAGTCGCCTCAAGCCCTGTTACGACCCTCCTGTTCTATCGTCACCTTCAGTCGCCAGGATGGCTCGTCTTCGTCGCCGGGGCATTGTAGTGGGGAATTCGCAAGGCAATGACTAGTGGGACCATCGCTGAGTGCGAAGCGCGAGCGGGAGCACGAGCTGTAGACGCTAGACTGCCCAAGCATTTGTTTCCGTACCGGCTGTCTGCCTATTACCTGGCGTCGCTATTAAACCCCCTTGCAATATCAATTTTCAGTTATAACAACAAAAGTTTCGTGGCACTCGAGTACTGTTATGAGTGGGTTCAACTGTATTATGCATAGTATGTGTGTACAGCAATGTTACTACCTTGGCATTTCACATATGTGCAAGTCCCGTGTGTATTGTGCGCCTGATATATTTGCACTAAAAGCTTGTGAAAATAATGCCGTTAGCATTGCCACATTTTTATCAGTGTGAGTTGGAGAAAATGTGTGCTTTCTAAGATTTTGCCAATGGCCATAAGAATACGGGAGAGAATGACCTTTCTCTGCCATTTTTTTTATAGCCACCATTACCACTATTACCACATTATCATTATAGTACATCTAGCCTGACTATGGAAGTTAGGTTAATAAAATACGCTGTCATGCTCTAAGATCCTTGGTGCTTGTAGGATCATTTCATCTTCTTAGCCATAAGAAGATGAAGTGGATGAAGTTTGTCCTTTTAGGAAAACGATGCAGTGTTTTGTTTTTCATTTAATGTGAAAGCACTTCGGTGCATACTTAACAATAAAACTGTCTATCTGTCTTCCTGTCATATAAGATGATCACTTCCCTTAAGAAAATAAGTTTACACTCTGGTGCTTGGGCTTGAGCCTGGTCCCTGATGACAAGTGTCTTAACGTACACATCCATGTTATCCATGCATGGATCTATGCTACACATCTTACTACACATTCATGCTATCAAAATATAAAAATATGTGATCTACATGAATACATTCCACAGTAAAGGTTAGTCAATTGGACCCTGTAACTTGGAAAAGCAGATTATTTGGACATGCCCTTTAATCTTAGCAAGTGTATGTATTGTTTAATGGCATTACACTCTGATCAATTCAGTAATAATTCGCAGCAACAATTTAGACATCTATCGAAGTGTTCCAAGCACAAAGTGCCACAGATGTGCATCACCAGAGATGCAGAAAACTATTGAAACAGCCGTAGGCCCTAAGGAAGGCGTGGTTGCCATACGTGAATGTGCACTAGCAAGCCAGGTTCATTCAGCAGCACATGTGGTGTTTAGCAGATTCAGTTCGTCTCCTGAGGTAGGCCGCATTTATGCCTTCAGAACACTAAACCGTAAAAACCGGAATATAAGTCGACCCCCCAAACTTTGAATCTCCGAAAAAGAAATTTTATCTGGAAAAGGTGTTTTGTGACTTCTCCGGAAAAGAAATCACAAAGTATCGTGGCGCACCCTTACCTTGGTAAGTACATGACACAACCAGGTGCACTATGGTGACATTTCTTTTACAGCAAAAGCTTTTATGAGATCACAACTTGGGTCACGTGTGGGGCCGTTGTCTGCTGCCGCCGGTGTCCGTAACCACTATCGCAGGAAATAAGAAAAAAGAACCCTAGCTCCAATGACACAGTGGAGCTCGATCCCGGATACGCTGCGTGCCAGCCCAGTATTTTGCCACTAAGCCACGCCAGTGCTTGGGACTTGTTCGCAAACTTGCCTTAGGCAGGCTTGATGTCAGGAAAGGAATCACGTTAATATGAGTGATAAAGTGTTTTAGGACAGCAAAAAAACAACCATGCATCACACAATGCCAATAGCATAACGAGTGGGTCGCCCAATGCAGCAACCCATTACAAAATCTTGTTCTCCTTTCCCTATTAACTGTGGTGCATGCCAACTTCAGCCTTAATTCATCATCGTCGTCAGCCACTGCATGGACAATTGGCACAAAATTTCTTGCAAGTGTTGAGCAGATACCACGCCTCTCAGAAGAATGACGGTAAATGGCAGAGCGAATGCCGGCCTACTACCCAGAAATTATTATTATTAATGCCATAGTAGGTACGCAGCAAGTGTGCTTGCAGCAGTTAGTCAATGAGGGTATAGAAAAGGCTCTGAAAGGCTGCTCTTCTAGCTTTTGCTGTGACTGTGCTGCACCTTCCGTGCAAGCCTGGCGTTTTTTATTTGGACACTAATCTTACGTATTGAAACGCCAGAAGGCCACCAAGTGCTGCCACTCAGACTCGTCCAAACTCGAGTTCTACTACGTCTGTTTTTCACTAGTAACATCCCAGAGTGCATCGTCCTCTGTTCCATCCAATGCGTTATTGATGCAGCATTTGCGAAAAGACAGAAGTTAGCCGCCTAAGCGCAAAGCACTTCCGCTTCATAAATCGGCGCACTCACACTGGCGATCCCTTGAGTTGCACCCACGTGAGCCCTGAGTCATGCGCTATTTTGAGCACTTTTACGGGGATGCGCTCCGCTGTTAAGGGTAGCAACCTTAACAGTCACTTGCTACACTTGCTTAAAGTCACTTGCTACATTGTGATGGAAGAACTATTGTCAAACATTATCCTGCTGTGCCCGTTGTGGGACTGACACTTGCAGTACAGGATGAAGGAGGACTGCAAAAAGGTTTTGGACAAATGAAGACACTCGGGTTTTTAGCAGCAGTCACATTGTGAACGAAGTTGCGAATCATGAAAATTGTGGCCTTCGTGCTGTTCTTATGCAATATAACTACTGGCTCTAAGTATTTGCTGACAAAATCAGAATGCATTGATTTAATAGACACTTGTTTATTGCTTTCTTGATACTTTGGATAATCTGGTAGTATGTTATTTAGAATGTTTTTTTTTTTCTGGTCCCATATATATAACACTTCTGCATCACTTATACAACTCTGAAAGAGGATTCTGTGTTAATTTTCATCTGTGATAGTATTTTACAATATTCTGCCAACACTTATGTCGCGAGTAAAGGTATGAGGAAGATTTACTGATTTCAGTGCCTTGTGAGACACGGGGAAGAATAATCTGCATTATTTCTCCTTGACATGCTCAAGACTTAAATACCTTTTGAGGACGCTTGTAATATTGTCTCACACCATTTACATTTGTTCTTTGCACCCTCATTCATGTTGTTGAATTTTGTCAGCATGTATAAGTTCGATTGGACTTTCATCTGGTTTCATTGCAATATTCAAAATCACAAACTGTAAGATTTAATTTCATCTTGATGTCTTGTATTCAACATTGTATGCTTATTTACTGCTGTATCTGGCGTCGTCACCTCCATTTTTTCTCATTGTAATCAGGCAGTAAGGATAAAGAACTGCAGAGAATTTCTTGCTCTAAGGGCAAAGCAGTTAATAAGTTAATTAAGAAAAGTGGCCAGCACATGTCCATATGAACATCTGTTATTGAATATACTCATTATCATTGCTTGTCTCTTAGCTTGTTTATCAGTGATGTATGAGAAAGCTATGAATTTGGAGGTGCACTGTGACACTACATTGTTTGCAATTGTAGCTAGTTCCTCGGTTGATTATTTTACAATGCAGCTTAGCAAAAAAGATAAATAACTTACATGGTATCTAAGAAATGGCTAATGTCTTGAAATCCTACAATAGGTAATTACTGTTGTGTCTAGTCGTAGACGTTGTCTACATGGCAGAATTTACCCATGGGTTGCACGAACGAGGGATGTTTTCACTTGTAAAGGCGATCGCTAGTACTGTATTATCACGGTGAGTTGTGCATGAGAAGGTTATGCGGGCTGCGCAGTTTGCAATTTCAGTCTTTGTAGCTTACAAGCACGTTTCGCTCTTCAGGTGTCGGAAGCTATCATGGCTGAAGATATAGAGGAGAGCAAGGTGGAGCGTGACATAGAAGAAATAGATGAGCAGATGTAAGTGTGCCGCATTTTTTTTGTGTCTACAAAAGCTGACGCAGCTGCACGCTTACAAAACTACATAACTTAGTTTATTTATTATTCATCTTTATCTTTACTACAAAATACTGCAAACAAAAAGTTCGAGCAGGGTGAACCTCAAACACACAATACTTACTAAATACCAGAATGAAACAAGGCCGCAAAGTGTATTTTACAGAATTTTTTTTGGTTATGAGATGGAGAGCTACAACTTAATAACAGAAGTACAATTGAACAACTTGGTCATAATACGATTCTAAGGAAGTCGTGAAAAAAGAACAGTATTTACACAAATAGTCATGGGCATTAAGGCAATGCATGAGTTCATTTATTGAAATCGGCTATTGGTTAAAGGAAAAAGGAGTACGAAAATGTGTCAGTCCTTAAAAGATTGGCATTCGAGAATAATGCATAGTGGTGCGCAGTGGGTCTGCGTAACAAGGGGAATACATGTGATGCATAGTTTATGGATAGCCTATGGGTAACTATGTCCGAAAGAAACTCCAGTTGACTTTTTTTTCTTACAATGTGTAATAATTTTATGCCGTTTGCAGTTAATAATGTAGTGGGACAATCGATCAACATAAATTTATTATATGTACTGGAGCATAGTGGCGCCAGCTCTGTGCCAGCATGAAAGAAGACGTTGACGTCCATGTGGCTCGTGCTTGCCGGCTTCCTGCCTGAACCAGCTTGTTGCGGCTAACACTTCTTCAATAATAACAAGTATTTATACGTGACCTCGCTTGTTGCATTTGGTGGAAACATGCTGGCTAACGTCCTGGAGCTTCGCAGCCGTAAGCTACCATCTGATTCCGCAATGACCGAGCGCGTCGTTCTTCCACAAGCCTCTTCCACGCCAGGGCCTGTACACCAGGGCCTGTCATGTGCCCTGGTGTACTTCGTCTGCGTGACCCACCAGTCTAAAACAGCACTGAAGATCACGATGTCGAGGACTGGCTGGCAGAGTACGAGCGTGCCAGCGCGATTAACAAGTGGAATGACCCTGTGAAGCTGACTCACGTCATCTTCTACCTGACAGATTTGGTCAACCTATGGTTCACCAACCACCAAGCCGACATCCCCACCTGGTCGGTTCTCAAAGAGACCTGTGACCTCGTTTTTCGGTCATCCAGCTATGCGCAAGCTTCGCGCTGAACTTGGCCTGCGGGGACGATTTCAGCGAAATGGTGAGAGCTTCACGAGCTACGTTGAGGATGTGATCGGCCTCTGTAGGCGAGTGGATGCGAGGATGACGGAGGCTGACAGAATAAAGCATATCATGAAAGGCATTGATGACGACACTTTTCATAGCTTGTGGCCAAATACCCACAGACCGTCACAGCCGTGATTCAGCTCTGTCAAAGTTTTGATGAGCTGCACAAGCAGCGAATTTCCACACGTCCACGCTAATACGCAAACAGCGGATATTTCGGCTTTGGAGTGCAAAAGCCGTGGCCCCGACTACACCGTATTGATGCCTCAAATTCAACAGTACATCCGGGAGGAAGTTGCTCGACAGCTCTCTCTTGTGGCCACCGTGAATGAGACCCCCACAGCACTGGACCACTCACTTCGCCGTGCTATTCAGACGCAAGTTGCCGAGGCTCTGCCTTCGCCCGCGCCCCCAATATCAGGTACTGCGCGGCTGACTTATGCAGATGCCGTCCACTGACTTCCTACCCAACCGCCGCTTTCTTCATACAGTACAGCCACCAACTACTACAGCTCGCCAGTTTCCATTTATCTGGTCAATAGACCCTTCTCGCCACCTTGACCACCTGTTAACTCTTGGCGTACTCAGGATAATCGGCCCGTCTGCTACAACTGCGGCATTCCAGGGCATGTCGCGCGCTACTGTCATCACCGCAGATTCTATTTTAATGATGCTTAGCATTCCGGCAACATCCCTCGGCAATCACAATCAAATTGTTACACCTGATACACCTGACCCCCGCTCACGCCGATCAGACTTCAGCCCATGTCGATCTCCTTCACCCTGTCTTCGGTCTCCTTCTACCATGCTTCGCCGTTCCAACCACCCCCAGGAGGAAAACTAACAGTCAGCAGTTCCTGAGGGCAAGAACTGCGCCACCGACGGAATTTTCAAGGCCTCATCTGTCGCCACCTAACGAGATTGCGGTGTTTGTGTACGGTTTCGCCACAACTGCTCTTGTCTACACAGGTGCCGCTATTTGTGTAACCAGTGAAGCGTTGATTGATTGATATGTGGGGTTTAACATCCCAAAACCATCATATGATTATGAGAGACGCCGTAGTGGAGGGCTCCGGAAATTTCGACCACCTGGGGTTCTTTTAACCTGCACCCAAATCTGCAGCACACGAGCCTGCAACATTCCCGCCTCCATCGGAAATGCAGCCGCCGCAGCCAGGATTTGATCCCGCGACCTGCGGGTCAGCAGCCGAGTACCTTAGCCACTAGACCACCACGGCGAGGCGTCAGTGAAGCGTTATGCTGCAAACTGAACAGAGTGACGACTCCACTGGTTGACATTTCCTTACGGACAGCGAGTTCGCAGCACCTCCAGCCTTCTGGGACATGCACTGTTCGTGTTGTGATTCAAGTAGTGCTTTCTATCGTTGAATTTGTTGTCCTTCCGCATGCGTCTCATGAAATCATCCTAGGATGAAACTTTCTTTCTGCTAATCATGCGGTTATTGACTGTGCTCGTGCACAACTCATTTTGTTTCCGTTCAACACGACATTCATAGATCTCCCTTGCTCACCCAAAAAGGTGATCGTCGCCGCTGACGTCGTCATCTCTGCTTTTTCGGTCGCCGTGGTGTCTATTTTGTGCAACTTCGTTCCTGATTCAACTGCCCTCTTTATGCCGTCGCAAGAATGCCCTCGTCGCCGGAACCTTGTCGTCCCGTTTGTCGTCCTAACGCTAGCCGATGGTTCCAGTGCCGTGTACGTGTGCCTCACTACCTTATTGCATGGCGAATGTATTGGGCGTCTTGACACTTATGATGCCATTTTTCTTTTCGACGTCCCTTCCGATACGACGTCAATGTCCGTGGATGCTGTCACAGCTGCCACCGCACCCTCACTACCTGACGAAGACGTTCTGTCGCGCAGCGTGGGCACCGGGCTTACGCAAGACCAGCGCAATCAGCTCATTCAACTAGTACTTGACCATTTCTGCGCCGACTTCGACCACGGACAACCTCCTTTGGGACGCACGTCAGTTGTCGCTCATCATATCGACACCGGTCATCATAATCCACTTCGTCACTGCCCCTACCGAGTCTCGCAGTCTGAGCGTGACGTCATCACTCAACACGTCGATGAGATGCGCCAATGTAGTGTCATTCAACACTCACACAGTCCTTGGGTTTCGCCAGTGGTCTTCGTGCAAAAAAAAAAATAAGATGGCTCCATTAGGTTTTGCGTGGATTATCGGCGACTAAACAAGATCACATGCAAGGATCTTTACCCCCTGCCACGCATTGATGACGCCCTGGATTGCCTTCAAGGTGCGGAGTTCTTCTCTTCACTGGATCTGCGCTCTGGATATTGGCAAGTGCCAAAGGCCGAACCAGACCGTACAAAAACGGCGTTTGTGAATTCACCCTGACGACTTATATGAATTTAATGTAATGCCCTTCGGTCTTTGCAATGCACTGGCGACTTTTGAAAGGATGATGGACAGTGTCCTCAGGGGACTTAAATGGCACATCTGTCTTTGCTATTTAGATGGCATAGTTGTCTTCTCTGCAAATTTCGAAACTCATCTTTCCCGTCTGGAACAAGTTCTCCAGTGCCTTACAGGAGCTGGGTTACAACTGAACTTCAAAAAATGTCATTTTGGCGCCCGCAAACTCACAATTCTCGGCCACGTTATCTCGAAAGCAGGAATATCGCCGGACCCTGCCAAACTGCGTGCCATTGCCGAGTACCCCAAGCCTACCACCTTAGAGGAGCTCTGTAGCTTCGTAGGCTTGTGCTCGTATTTTCGGCATTTCATCCGCAATTTCGCTTCTATAATCGCCCCCCTAAATCAGCTTCTTTCCAGTAGCGGAAACCTCTTGGGCTGGAATCGCCATTGCGATGTCGCATTCACGACGCTGCGCCGGCTACTCACGTCTCCACCAGTTCTCCGCCACTTCGATCCCAATGCACCTACTGAAGTTCACACGGATGCTAGCGGTGTCGGCCTCGGTGCCATTCTCGCTCAACGCAAGGATGGCTGCGAAGAGTACGTTGTCGCCTATGCCAGCCTTACCCTAACAAAGGCAGAGTCCAACTATTCCGTCACGGAAAAGAAGTGCTTGGCTATCATTTGGGCTATAGCGAAATTTCGCACTTACCTTTACGGACGCCAGTTTGATGTTGTCACAGATAACCTTGCCTTATGCTGGCTAGCGTCCATGAAAGACCCTACTGGCCATCTCGCTCGTTGGGCTTTGCGCCTTCGGGAATACGACATCCGTGTTGTTTATCTCTCAGGACGCAGGCATTCAGACGCCAATGGCCTATCCTGTTCTCCGCTGCCTCCTCATCTTGCCTGCTTACCAACTGCCATCTGCGACTCAACATCGCTGAGCATCACCGACATGCCAGCCCGAGCAGTGCAAGGATCTCTGGATCAATTCTCTGCTCGACTTCCTCTCTCACAGTTTGGTAGAATCGACTTCACGGTCCCTCTCTCGTCAAGACACTTTGCTGTCCGTGAAGGCTTGTTGTATCGCCGCAATTACGAGACGGATGGCCGTAGGTGGCTCCTTGTCATCCCCCGTCATTTGCGCTCGGACATCTGCGCTGCCTTTCACGATGACCCCCAGTGTGGCCACGCTGGAGTATTCAAGACCTACTCTCGCCTTCGTCTAAGATACTACTGGCGCGGCATGTATCGGCACGTTCGCCAGTACGTTCGGTCATGTACCACGTGGCAACGCCGCAAGATGCCTTCTCACAGCACTACTGGCCCTTTGCAACCCTTAACCTGTCCAGCGAGACCATTCTACCGCATCGGAATTGATATTCATGGTCTTTACCTAACACTCTTCGAGGCAACCGGTGGCTTATCGTCGCCGTCGATCAATTGACACGCTACGCTGAAACATCTGCGCTGCCTGCTACCACTGCGAAAGACATTGCATCTTTTCTTCTTCACCATCTGATTTTGCGGCACAGTGCACCTCGTGAATTGCTGAGTGACCGTGGAATGCGTGTTTCTCTCGAACGCCGTCAACGAGCTTCTCAAGGAATGTCGCACTGTCCATCGGAAAACCTCGGCATACCATCCCCAAACCAATGACATGACAGAACGCTTTAATTGTACCCTTGGAGATATGCTTGCCATGTACGCGTCTGATGACCACACAAATTGGGACCAAGTGCTCCCTTTTGTAACGTACGCGTACAACTCTGCGCCACAAACAACCACAGGCTTCTCTCCTTTCTTCCTCCTGTACGGACGTGAACTATCATGCTCCATGGACACCATTCTCCTGTACAGACCTGACGTTTCCGAAGCGACGCCCGTTTTCGAAGCAGCTACTTATGCCGAAGAGTGTCGTCAACTCGCTCGTTTACCACGCAAGACCAATGGCGCCAGAAAACTGAGCCACGATGCCTGTGCGTCTAATGCCCACTATAACCTAGAAATTTGGTTTGGCTCTGGGTCCCGTCTACCCCTCCCGGTCTTTCACCAAAACTTTCGTCGAAATACCATGGCCCCACCGTGTGGTGCGACAAACATCTCCCGTCAACTATGAAGTTGAGCCCATTGATTCACCTTCAGACCAGCGTGGCCGTGGGCTTGAAAACGGCTCACGTATCCCGCCTCAAGCCGTGCTATGACCCCCCTGTCATGTCATTTCTTTAGATCGCTAGGTTGGCTCTTTTCTGTGCGCGGTGTAATTGTACCGGAGCATAGTGGCGCCAGCTCTGTACCAGCGTGAAAGAAGACGTTGACGTCCTGTGTGGCTCGTACTTGCCAGCTTCTGCCTGAGCCAGCTTGTTGCGGCTAAAGCTTCTTGAATAATAACAAGTATTTATACTTGAACTCGCTTGTTGCATATAAATAAATCGTACTGATTTTCTTTAAATTCTTTCTTGGTTTTGAATGTTGATTTTTTGTGTGAAGAATCCAAACCAAGAAGGTATTTTCAAGTTTTGGCTTAATTAAGGATAAGTAGGAGAGGATTTTAACTGCTAGGCAGGGCAGTCTTGACGTTGTGGCAGAGAAGGCATAATTTTTAGAAGGCGGCAGAGCAGATGTTATATGTTAATTCCAGGATGAGGTACTCGTTAACACAATACCTAACTATTTATAGGAGGCCACTTTAAAAAAATATTTCAAGGTGTCACAATAATTACCAGAGGCTCATTTCTCAAAATCTTAGTGGCAACGGTCTTTTCACAGGATGGACAGCAATGCTCCCATTAGACCAGACTGCCTGTCTCCAGTAATTAAAAATTTAATTATTTTTACCGAAATTGTGTCGTGATTTCTGTGTCCAGAAATCTTAACATGTCTCCCACCACAGTAAAAGTAAATGAAAGCAGCGAGCAAACATTCCTAAATTTTCGGGACACATTTTTTGAAATACCTTGTATTATACATCAGCAAAATTGAAAATTTTCATGGAAGAGGTTTCAAATATTCTGTAATGTACTGGTTACACCAGTGAAATGTAGTGGGTTCTTTAAAGTCAATCAATAAGAACCTTAATAATCAACTGAACTATAGAGTGCCTCTCTGTCCTGTTTTCTTGTGGTTTGTTATATTTTCCATTTTCTATGAAGTTAAACAACTTTATATTGAGTTAATAATTTTGACCACTACGATTACTTTATATGTACCTCCTTACAAAATGATGTTAGTGCTTACTAATCATAGCTGTACGTTCTTCTTCTGTTCCAGTCACAACTGGCAACGGGTTGACCAGCTGCAGCAGAGGAAAGAAGAGCTCATGAAGAAGGAAGTCACCGTAGAGGAAGACAATCAGGACGACAAGAGTGATTTGGAAGATGAAGAGTACGAGGAATTCCTTAGCTGGCGAGCGAAGGGTGTATGGAAAGAATGAATGCATTTCACTTTGTCTTCTTATGGAGTGATCAAGGGATGCCTTGCTCTACCGGTGTCTCCCTTGGAAGAACTTCAACATGTGATGTCCATCAATGCCTCAGTACTTTCTCTGAAACTTCTGGCTGCCTCTGCTAGACTCTGCTGTTGTGTGGAAGAAACTATTCCAGCTTCATCTCTTCCTGTGAGCTATTCTGGACATCTGAAAAATATAGGATATTGCGCCAGAGATGTTGTGAAGAGTGTTGCACGACGCGTCGTCACGCCACTGCAACATCATTAAGACATTGTTCATTGCCATAGTCACAGGCTTTTGAGTTGCATTAAAGTTGTATAAAGTGTACAGTTTTAAAATAACATTGTAGTCGTTGTATATTTGTTTTCACTCTCAGGCGATGCATCTCATGCATTTATGGTCATCCTGAAGTATTGTTTTCTGAGAAACTAAAAGAGGTATTTACATAATCGAGATGTCATTTTCTTTCCAATTTTTTGCTTCTTTACCTTAAATAGATTTATTAATATCTGACTCATATTACAATTTTTATGACTTATTCACAACTAGGACCAAAGTTTTGAGTTTAATTGGTATCTATAAAATATGTCCCACAAAATTGCATGGCGCATAATTTTGATTCTGCTTCAGTGGCTGTATGCATTTATGCAGAATACAGGAAAATAATAATCGATTGGTTACCTTAGAATACATGAAAAATAAAGGTACACAAGTAATAAAAAACATTGTTTTGAGAAAATAGAATTTAAAGTTAAGAAACGGCTGAAAAGTCAACACGCTTTCTCACAAACACTGTTCAGCTATTGTATTTAGTATCTACAAGTATGGTAATCATTGCTAAAGTAAATTTGTCACTTCGGAGCCTTTCGTATTGTTTGCCTTGCTTCTTTTGTAAGCTGTCATGTCGACAATGTATTTTCGAGTGTGGTCAACGTGTCCGAGCAAATTGATTGGCCAGGCTTGAATTCTAAGTTCCTAATTATTCAAGAATTTGGCTCATAGGATACTACCATCACCAAATGCAAGAACAAGGTCCAATGTCATAATCCTTAAGACTCTGAGCAAAAACTATGCGATGAAATTCTCATTAACTCAGCACTTGCACTGGGCAGTTTGTGTGCATTATTTGGTCTTATTGTATCACAAATACTAACAGTATAGTCCATTAAAGCATAACCATTGTCACCCTGCACGTTATTCTCCATGAAGGATGCTGCAAAGGCTGGCAGGCTCAACATGATGATCTTCCTGATTCAGAGTTCAGCGCCTCAGTACGCCACTGACATTTATTCACATTTACCAGAGTTGACGGGCTGCTGTGAAATTTACAGTTGCTGAGGGCCTTCTTTACCCTCAGCATCTAAACTTATTGGCAAGCGTGACAAACACAAGGTGTAACGAAGCTAGAAAATGAAAGTGTGCTCTGAAGATGATTCGCTCTGAAGATGAAGTGTACATCTTCAGAGTGTACATAAAGTGTACATGAAGTGTACATAAAGGCACACAGTGTCTTTGGACTTCCTTAGAAGATACCTGACAATTTCATATGCACAGCTGACTAAACAAGCATTTAGGCTTTTGTACATGATGTCTTTCTTTTTAGAAAAGTAGACCGTAAGCACAGAGCCCTTATGAACGGTTCATCCTAGGGTGCTTTTACACTTGCTTTTGCTTTCGAAAAAACTCACCCTGAACCACAGGAAAATGCTAAGAAAGAAAAGCGCAAATGTGGAACCTATGCACAAAGGGACACTATTTTCCATATTACAAAAAAAAAAAAAGAAGGTCAGCCTTTTTTTGAGATGTACGACCACGAAAAATATAACACACCTTCTATTTAACAGGTAGGAAGGGCACTGTGATGAACGCTGCCCTGAAATGGTAACTCTGCACACGCATCTGCTTGTATCTATGGCCTGCGATTTCCGCAAAATGCTAAATACCGCGTGACATGCACTTTTGCTCTGTGCGTTCGGCCTGCAAACCACTTGTATTCGGTCACGGCAAAAAGATGACAGGACAGTGATGACGCACCTGTTGATAGCGGACGCACAGGCGACAACCGCTGCGTCTGCGTATCGCGGTAATGAACCATGGCGAGGAATGCATGTTGTTCGAATACATGCGAAGACGCGCTAAGGAGCACTGCAATTATGACACACAAGAAAGTATGTCTCACAACTTTTTTTTTTCTTGAGCGAAGCGTTTTGTGTTCGCATACCGCCGTCGAAGCTCTGTGCACCTGGCAAGTGCACCGAGCAAAACTACAGGTGCTCACTGATGACGCAGCGGGAGTGCAGGCGCGGCAGCAGATGGCACGAGCTGTGCTGCACGCTCACTTGCTCAATTGTTCCCGCCACCGAGCGCAACAAAGACTCAGTTCTTATATTCAATAGGCCTTTTAAATGCGAAGCATTTCTTAGTGAACTTCAGAGACTTTGAGCGTCTCTATCTGTCTATCTATCTAAAAACTTATCAATTACACTTGCAAAGAAGTTTATTGGGCGAATCAAACGGGCAGGTGGAAGATTAGAGATAGCGACAGGACAAGGAAGATGGAGGAGCTCGAGCGCCGATCTCGTGGTGCCTTACTTTGCGATGATGCTTGTCGTTCCCTTTTGTTGTCATCATTCCTTCATTATAATTGCCCCCGTCGAGAAAGATGAAGCCATCCTGGTGATCTAACAGGTGGGAACGAGCGGGTCGAAGTACGGCTTCAAGCGGTCCACATGAACATCATGTCCACGCCGACGATGGTCACTGAGTGGCGTAAGCGGTTCAATGGCGTAATTGACGGGCAATGTGCGCTCTACCACGCGGTATGACGGGCAATGTGCGCTCTACCATGGTAATTTGAAAGTAGCTTGGTAGACAAACCAGGTGCACAGGGTGGTACATACAGCCATACAAGGGTTCCAGGGCAGAACTCTGCGGCAGGAGGATGGTCGTCGTCGCGGGCCTTTTTCTGGCGTTGCTGGTCAGCCGTAGTAAACTGCTTCACTAGTTGGCGGCATTCTTCGGCGTGACGGGCGGGTTCAGACACGGTCGTGCACTCAGATACATCTGGTGCGTATGGCAGCAAAGTGCCAATTGTGTGCGATGGTTGACGTCCGTATAGAAGGTAGAATGGGGAAAAGCCGGTGGTGACTTGGGTAGCGGTGTTGTACGCGTAGGTCGCAAACGGAAGAACCAGGTCCCAGTTCGTTTGGTCAGATGCCACATGCGTCGCGAGCATGTCACCTAGGGTCCGAATACATCGCTCAGTCAGGCCATTCGTCTGAGGGTGGTAAGCAGTTCTCATCCGGTGTACAATGTGGCACTGACGGAGAAGGGCTTGGATTACGTCGGATAGAAATACACGGCCCCGGTCACCGAAGAGCTCTCGAGGAGGGCCGTGACGCGACACAAACCGATGGAGGATGAAATATGCGACGTCCTGAGCGGTCGCCGTAGGAAGAGCAGCGGTTTCGGCGTACCGTGTCAGGTGATCTACAGCAACGATAGCCCACCGGTTACCTGCTGTGGTCAATGGCAGTGGTTCATAAAGGTCGATTCCGACGCGATCGAATGGGCGGTCAGGGCACGCAAGCGGCTGTAGTGGAGCTGCTCCTGCATTCGGTGGCTGTTTTCGTCGCTGACACTCGTGGCAGCCGCGAATAGACTGTCAAACAAAAGTAAACATCCCACGCCAGTAGTACCGCTTCCTTAAACATTCGTAGGTCTTGAAGACACCGGCGTGAGCGCATTGCGGGTCCGAGTGAAATGATGCACAGATTGTAGAGCGCAGCTTTCGGGGAATAACGAGCAGCCACTTCCTGCCGTCTGGTGAGTAATTGCGCCGGTACAAGAGGCCACCTCGAATGGTGAAGTGCGAAGCCTGGCGTCGCATTGCTCGAGTGGTGGGAAGTGTCGGTACCCCAGATAAGACGTCCAGAAGCGAGTTATCCATGGATTGTCGCGCTGTGCAGAGGTCATTGTGTCGATGTCAAGAGTGGACAGCGCGTGTTCTATAGAAGATATAGAGGAAACCTCAGCGGACAGTGGTGATCGTGAGAGCGCATCAGCATCGGCATGTTGGCGGCCGGAACGGTACACGACGCGGATGTCATACTCTTGAAGTCGCAGAGCCCAATGAGCAAGACGACCTGATGGATCCTTCAGCGACGACAACCAACATAAGGCGTGATGGTGTGTAATTACAGCAAAGGTGCGGCCATATAAGTATGGGGGAAATTTCACAATCGCCCAACGTATGGTCAAGCACTCTTTTTCGGTAACACTGTAGTTTACCTCAGCCTTGTTGAGCGTTCTGCTGGCGTAGGCGACGACATACTCAGGGGATCCAGGCCTGCTTTGAGCGAGAACTGCACCAAGACCGACACCGCTGGCGTCTTTACGGATTTCAGTTGCAGCCGTGGGATCATAATGGCGCAATATAGGCGGTGATGTTAGGAGACGGCGAAGAGTGGTAAATGCGTGATCACATTCGGAAGACCATGATGAGATGTCGTTGGCACTGCTTAAAAGTTTAGTCAAAGGGGCAATTATGGAAGCAAAGTTGCGCACAAACCGACGAAAGTAGGAGCACAATCCTACGAAGCTGCGTAACTGTTTTACAGTCGTAGGTTTGGAGAATTCAGCGACAGCGCGTAGTTTAGCCGGGTCGGGAAGAACGCCATCCTTTGATACGACGTGACCGAGAATGGTGAGCGTCCGAGCAGCGAAGTGGCATTTCTTGAGATTCAGTTGGAGCTGCGCATTCTTCAGACACGTGAGGACATGTTTCAGGCGTACAAGATGTGTTGCAGAATCGGGTGCAAAGACGACGATATCGTCGAGGTAGCAGAGGGATATGTTCCATTTCAAACCCCGCAGAACCGAGTCCATCATGCGCTCGAATGTGGCCGGCGCATTGCAGAGGCCGAAGGGCATGACATTAAACTCATATAGCCCATTCGGTGTCACGAAGGCTGTTTTTGGACAATCACCATCTGCTAAGAGCAGCTGCCAATACCCCGAATGCAAATCTAACGACGAAAAAAACTCGGCACCTTGTAAGCAATCAAGGGCGTCATCAATCCTGGCCAAAGGGTACACGTCTTTGCGAGTGATCTTATTTAAGCGCCTGTAATCAACGCAAAAGCGAATTGTACCATCCTTCTTCTTAACGAGAACGACAGGCGATGCCCATGGACTTTGGGAAAGTCGGATAACGTCACGCTTGAGCATATCGTCAACCTGTTCGCTGATAACCTGACGTTCCGTGGCGGAAACACGGTATGGTCGCTGTCGTACTGGCGCGTTGGAACCTGTGTCGATGCAGTGAAAAAAACTGGGAGTTCGGCCAAGGGTAGGTTGAGCAACGTCAAAGGATTCACGAAACTGGTAGAGCAGCTGAAGGAGCTCAAAGCGTTCAGATGGCGATAGTCCGTCGGCAATCGATGAATCG